GCGGGTCCAATCTGTCCATAATACCCTGCTATTTGCTTTTGGCTTCTGCTTCTTGAAGAAGTCAGAAATTTTAGCTTTTGGAAAAAGTTAAATTTTAACTTTTTCATTAACTTCTGCTTTTTTTTAAGTTAGCAACCAAACACTCTTAAAATTTTAAAAGTCCTTTTTTTATAAAAAAAAAGCAACTTCTGACCCGGTAGAAGCCCATCCAAACGAAGGCTAAAGCAATATTAGCAAAAGTGTCTTTACAGCTACTCCGTATATTTTTCCAGCCAATTAAGACAACTAACATCAAATTTCTCATCCAGCAGGCGAACCCGCTGAAGCAACCCACAGAGGCATTATCCAATAACACCAACTTTAGATACTAAATAATTAACATTATTAATTAATACATAATTATAATTATTATATTAATAATTATCAATCAATCAATATTAATATTAACCAATCATCCATTGATTATAATTGGTCATTTAATGTGTATTCTTATAATCAATTATTTATGAAAATTTTGTATAATTAGTTTTAATTTTCGGAAAAGCATATAAAACATCATAATTTGTTTCAAAAATGCTTCACGACTTCCTCCCAAGAGGCCCATACGCATCTTATCAATTCAGAAATCCGTTATTTCTTGTTCGTTAGAGGATTAAATTTAAACGGAAAGGAACGTGTTTTTAATACATGGATATATCCACACTTTTGACTTATCTTTGCTAGGAGGTTAAAATCAAAAATAATACGTATAAAAAATAACACATTATATTTAAAATAATCTTTGCTGATTATTGAAATTAAGAATATAAAATTTGAACCCAAAATTGTTAAATCATAATACGTATTATATATCGTTTCTTTGTTTTTTTATTATTATGTATCAGCGTATCATGAGATTTAAAAATATAATAAAAAATATATGATAACATATAAATTATATTTCAGAAAAATATTTATGTAGTTAATGCAGATAAGTTATCTATATTTACTCCCAAAATTATATTTTTAGCTTTCAATGTTTTACCTTTTGTCTATACAATAACTCCTTGAAAACTTCTCGATTTTTTTTTTTTTAGTATAACTCAGGGTATCCTTCAGCCGACAGTCACAAATTAATAAATTAATCTCGTAAAGATCATCCAAGTGAATTTTGTCTTTACTAACAAAATATTTTTAACACACACGGCCAGTAATCGAATCCCGGTCAACATGCTTAAGGCACCCAATTATCTACAAACCGTGTCAGACTTTATTGGTATCAGTTGTATATAGACCGAAGAGACTTGTATATTAATTTAAGTATTTATTTGATTGTTTTTCTAATTTATAGTATTTTTCACATTCATTGTTGAATTTAAATTACAAATTATATTTCTGTTCCCCCCCCCCCCCCCCCCCCCAATTATTAGTGACTTTTTAGATTTTCTTAATTGAAAATCATAAATTTTAGTTTGATTTTTGAATTATAAATTATGATATGATATACAATTTCGGACCGATCCAAGTCCAATTCTGATACAAGCAAATGAATTGTAATGCTATAACTTATCATATTATATAATACGTATCGCGATATTAATAATTATATTTTAACCGTCTAAGAAAAATTATAATGAAATTATATTAGGACAAATTTAACTCAAGACTCTGATAAATCCTCGGAACAAAAATTTTCATTTTGTTTTATTAAAGTCGTTCAAACTAAGAATATGATATAAACATTTAAAAAAAAAAAACTTCATAAGGGCCTCATAGCAAGAGAAAATTAACCGTATCATATATTTAGAAAGATAAGTTTAAATTTATTAGATAAAAGTTCAAATTTTAAATAAGCAAAGAAATATAATAATTAATAGTTATTAAAGGGGAAAGATCCATTTACAAATTATACTAAGTATGATCGGTCAGTGATCATACACTCTTGATTAAAGTATGACCGGTGAGACATAGTAAGAGTTTGTAAACAAAAAATTTATAAATATAACCTTTCCCTTTATTAAATAGTTAAAATATCATTATATTTTCCAAGATATGCTCACAAATCCGTATTATTTTTTGATTTGCTTCCTTTTTTCACCCTATATATTATGATTTTGAATTCTGTCACACAAGACGATATCAACACACAAAAATTAAAAGGAACATTTTTTTTTTTTAATTAAGCCGGCATTGTATATCAGAACTTTTGACTTATCTTGAAGCAGATCAATTTGAGGAATATTTTCTTTTATCTGTTTGGATGCATTTTAAGATTTGTTTTTTAATAACTCTATTTCTTATCGCGTAAGTGTTGCAATAAAAAAAAATATAAAAATTGTTTATCAAATTTTTTATTTTTTATAAAAATCAATGAACTATCTCTAATTTTTTATTTTTTATGATATTTTCTGGCGGTTAAAATTATAAATCCTTATCGATTATCCGATTTGTTTTCTTTTTTAAAGTCATTCAAATTAAGAATACGATAGAAATAAGAGAAAATAAATCATATCATATATTTAAAAAGATAAATCGAAATCTATTCGAAAAAGATTGGCATATATAAGGAATTAGTTTTCACGCAAATCTCCAATTTAATTCGTAATAAGATTCTGCAAGAAGCATGTTAGTAGTTATTAATAAGAATCGCATGCTATATACAAGAAACACACATGTTCTATCTCCTTTCCTTTCATCAAAGTTATCTTTCATCCTTCCTTCCTTGCTCCGTCTCAAAAAATTTCTTTGCATTCAAACAACTCATCATAGTGGCAATGTCGTCCCATGATGTGTTATTTGAGATATTCTCTTGGTTACCAGCAAAAGCTGTTTACAGGTTCAAGTCAGTTGGCAAGTTCTCCTCAAAGTTTTCAGATGAAACATTATTTGCATCGAAGCAGGCTCAGAATGCATTGTTAAAGGATGACACGTGCTTCTTCATTCAATCAGATATTGGTCAGAGGTACAATGGCCAAACAGAGTTACACCCTTTACCGGGAGAGGAGCTATCATCTGGAGTCTCTAATGATGTTTTACAATTCTTGACTAACTCTGCAAGAATTGTGGCTTCAAGCAATGGCTTGATTCTTTGTCGTGCTACTTGTCAGAACCAAGTTGAGTTGTTTATTTGTAACCCAGCAACACAATCTTTGTCCCCCATTCCTGTCTCGGAGGATTTGCAGGTGAGTGTTGAGGCTGATCTCAAAATTGTTTTTGAATGCGACTCAGATGATTGCATGCTGTTTCTTTTTTGTGAGAACCCAAAAGATGGTTGGTCTTCAAATTTGTATTGCAATGTTTACCTTCACAAGGAAGGTGTATGGAAAGCACGGGAAGAAAGTTTCACCACTGGTGCCAGGAACTTGAGATTTGACATTCCTGTGATTCATAATGGTGTCATCCACTTCATCTCAGATTGTTCTCCTTACATTAACAGAAACAATCAATATTTTTGGCCATATATCATGTCCTATAATCTTGAGAGTGGAGCATCAAGAATGCTCCATGTGCCTAAAAAAGCAAGAAGGGGTTTTGATGATGACAGTTGTAACATGGGAATTTTTAAATGGGGTAAAGTCACTAGTTCAACTAAATCCATTTGTTTGGTGAGGTTTAGAAAGTGTATATTTACCGTATGGGCTTTGAGGGACTATGAATCAAGTTCTTGGAGAATGATTTTGAAAGTAAGAGTGAAAGCAATGGAATTGATGGAGCAAGATCCTATTGTCACAGGTTTTACTGTCTTGAATGGTGAACTTTTGGTCTTTGCTACAACGAAGAAGGTCTATGGCTATGGTTTGAGTAATGAAAATTGTATGGTACTTGAGGAAATATGTGAACATGGATGTGAAACCAGAGTCTGCTTCACTTCTTATTCCAACACATTGCGCACGTGTGGTATTGATGCCACAGCTTTGCCTCCAAAGAAGAAAATGTTGCAACCAAGTCCAACTTGGAAGTAGGATACGACTTTGCCTTGATTTAGTATTAGTTGTCCGGATGTAATCATTCCCATTCTTGTTGGTACTTTTTGTTTGAATTTCTATTCAAATATCAATACTTTTTTTCATAGATCTCATGGCCGAAATAGTCGTGTTATTGTTGATTTTGTTACCTGACAATTTTTAGTGAATAATGAGCTTTTCTTCTTCTTCTTTTTTGAAGTTAATGGTAGCCTGTAGCCACACTCTTTTCTAATGAATTTTTTTTTTTTATATAGTATCGTCATCGATTACTTCATTAGTATGATTCAAGGAAAATAAAATCACATTGCAAAATGTTGAAACTATCAAGCTCACTCAATAAAGTCTGAGGCAAACTCAAATTCGGTTCTTTTTGGTATTGTTAAAGAATAATATAAACTATTAAAAAGATCCTTACATCATCTTAAAATTTTGAGTTGAGATGGTTGTTTATATGATGGTATCAGAATATCTAAGAAATTTAAGCAAAAATCTAAGGTTAAATTCGCGTAACTTGTTTCCTATTATAGGTAAGAAGTGTTCAAGACTTTTTACAATGTTATCAGAACCTTTTTTTTTATAGACTACTATGGTAATTGCTGTTTATATTGCTCAACACTTGCACTTTGCAATTGTACCATTTGTCCTCGGCAGCTATTGCTTTGCTTCCCTCCATTTTGCACACCCTATATTCTCATACATAGATCTTGCGTACATCTATCAAAGAATATAGGATATTCATTCTCCTCATACATGGGGTAAAGTGCGATGTTATTTCTTCTAGAAAGTTATGCACTCAACTTTGTTAATTACCAGCTCTAGTTAATTGCTGTCCAAAACTTCATCACACCATTACTATTTTCTATATGCAACTTTTATAATCATTTCTCAAGAAATTCAATGCTTCGAGAACCTTCTAAAACAACTTTTTTTTTTTTTTGGTGTGGTTCTAAAAACAACTTTAATATTATTGTTATACACGACAACTTTTACTTGTTTTATTTCTCTATGTTTTACTGTCACGTCGTATCAATCAATAAAATTTATTTTTGAGCCTAAACAACAATTTTCTAAAAAGTCAAATATAAGTTTTTTCCTGATTATGAGGTGTCTATGTTAAATAAGAGGAAGTTCTAAAATTTCCAAGAATAACAGTAATCCTACATAAAACAATAATTAAAAAATATGTTTTACCATTCCGCATCACATCACATGGAGCCTCGTAAATGTTACAACTGTATCTGCTCTTTTAAATTTCCAAACGGGCTAAAGCTTTTTTCTTTTACTTCCTCTTTGCTACAATTGCAATTGCCAGTGTTGAAGTTTTGACCACATTTCAGGCACATGCCTTTGCACTCAGGATCACATACTGAATTCATGGTAATCTCAAGATGCACCCTGTCTCTTATGTTCTTTGAAATGTCAATTTGTTTCTCTTCAGGAGGAAAATATAGCTGATCATCCAAATCAATTAGTGCATCTTCATTATCATTCTCACCACTGTTTCCAGAGGTTGTAAATTTGTCTTCCCCAAAAATAACTCCCAAATCAATAGTCTCTGGTTCATCAATGGGTTCTTCAGTAAGTAAAAGAGAGAACTCAGAGAATATGCACTCGGCAGACGGCATGCAACACCTTCAATAGAAGATCACATTGAAACTGAGTTATTTTATTTAAAAGGAAATAGAAGAAATAATCTACGCAGTACAATATGACATTATAGAATAAGTCAGGGGCCTCCATTTCTGTATCAAGTTTTTTTTTTTTTTCCCACATGGAGACAATAAAATATTTTTTTCATTTTTTCTGGCCTGCCTTTTTGTTTTCTTCAACAAGTACTTGAATGAAACTGCTTATTTCCGCTTTGGCTACCTACTAAATGCTTGAAAATTGAAATCAAGGAAGATAATCTATAACAGTAAAGTGAACAATACATCAGATGGTATTTGTGATGGACAGCATCCAGATACCTAAAGGGAATTAACCTGCTAGCAACTATAGTAAACTTATGTGAGATATCATGTAACTTCAATCACCCAAGATTTCTTCCATGTTACTACAACTTATTGAAGATTGGTGTGAAATTTAATAAATTGAGATGGATAATGGAATACTATTAAACAAACAAGAAATATTTTTCACAAAAACAAACCAATCATATCAGACTATCAGTGCAGTTCACGGTTAGTTTACACAAGTCAACCAAAGGAAAGAAGAAGAAAAAAAAGAAGCTATTATACATTTACTACTTGGGAGACGATAACATTTGGACAAAAGCATTTGCATTGACTTGGAAATAGAAAAGATTCGGACTAAGCCTATAAATCTAATCACATTACACATCCTCAAGGCAGATGTACCAGATTCTTCATTATAGATCATAGTAGAGTTCACTGAAGAGAATAAAAGGTAGAACAAAAAGTTATATGCCAAGTTGAATGCAGTAAAATTTCAGTAGTGTGTAATTTTCAGTTAAAGCATTTTATTTGATGTATGAAGGTGGGAGTGAAGTGATAATGAAGTCGGAGAGACGAACCAATTTCAGGATTTAAAGCTTCCTTGGGGCTTGTTAGTCATATCTAGGAAGTTTATAGAGGATGTTTCAGGTAAGGTCATCCAAACAAAAATGATGCACAAACATTTTGAACAGATTGTTTTGTGAAAGATTGAGTTGATGACTGTTAACCATGTCAGCAAATTTGCAACTTCAATTTATATCGAAGTAATAGATTTAAGTCTATTAGTTCAATGAAACTTTTGTATTTCCCTCACTAAGGTCTATGCACCTTCACCCCACCTAGACCCCACAATAAGATAAACCATGGAAACTCCACTAGTCATCTCCACTTTGTTTTCTCTCCCCCTCTCCCATTCTAGTTAGCTCGGTAAGCAGTGGAGAGTGGACACATGAAAGAGAAAGAATGCATTTCCTTTGTTCTGTTAGTTTGAGTGATGCCGAAGAGGGTATGGAGGAGAGAGTTGCATCATATTACACAGATAAGTTTATTTGGTCAGATTTAACAGGAACATAATGGCTTCATTATACCCCTCCAAAATATAAGGAGGGGTTTGATACAAGGTATTTAATATGATGCATTTTGAGCGAAATGACTTAAATTCCAACATTAAAACTGCACTTTTCCATATTGTTTATTCAGAACATATAAGGCCATCCAACACCCAGTATAATATATATAACATTCCAAATTAAAGCGGGAATCAATAATCAATTACATGTAGTGGCATACAAAATACAAAATCAATTACTCCAAATTTTAACGAAGCAGGATGAGTTTCATTCTTTACATGTAGTGCACAACGCAAGCAAACAAAATACAAAACCACAAGATTATGACACCAGTCATCAAATCCACAATAAAAAACACCAGATGCTATGGTAGCTCAACTACAAGTTAAATACATAGGAGTCTGCCATCTAATTGGTAACAAAGCGCTCTCACACCCACAGGGTGCAAATGTTAACTATTGGTTCCATCTCATTACCAGCAAAATAACTTATATCATTTTCTCAAAAGCAAATGAGCAATTACAGATCAGCACTAAAGCTAAGGACTGATGTTAAACTGAGAAAATCTAGATATCTTCTAGAAACTAGATGAGTAGATTCTATCAAATTGAAGTTTCACATTGACAGAAGAAACAAAGGAATGCACATAGTTATACACCATACTATCGTATACCTTACTGTTTAATTCTTAAACTGACTGGTAAAACAAAAGACATAGTCCCAGCAATAATGGCAGACTAAATGTTTTGAAATGAAGATGATGTGGCATATTGAAACCATCCATTGCAACGCAGGCAAGTACAGAGAATGTTGGCACTACAATCTAAATAGGTAAGGAAAGAAAATTTTCTCATATGAAATAAACCTCATGCCGTCAGCCTTCATGATAACTGGGTAGTACACACAAATAGGTAAGAAAAGAAAATTTTCTCATATGAAATAAACTGTGTTTTTTTTTCTTCTAAAAAGTAAAATAAAAACACATGCTGTACACAAGCATACAAAGAGAGAAAGACAGAGAATGTTAACCAAATCACAATTTGATGATTTTCTATAATCAAGTAAGTAATTTCGCACTCTTAATTCTTAGAGGTTTGAAATCAAACTGAATAAGAAATGAAAAATGCATACATCACCATTATAATAGAAAGCTATTCCTTGCTTTACACAAAGCTGTCAATGTGGAGAGAAAAAAATAAACAATATATGTTTTTTTGTTACAGAGGAACAGGTACCATCCAAAGTCACTGTTGACATCAAGTATATGCTGTTATCATCAACTTGTATTAAATCACATGAAACTAATAGAGATCGGTCAAGAAAGTTTCATATAAAGGGAGTATTATGAGCAGGCTCTTCCAGCTAGTTTTGGTGAATAAATTTTTGTCTCATTCATGTTAAGAAAATAGATATTCATTCCTTGTTTTAAGACACAATGCAACTTATGTATTCCTAATAAGCAGAGTTCCTATGTAATTTTATCAAAAGTAAAGTAAAGAAAAGGGGAAAAGGGGGGAAGGAAGGAGACAAATGTTAAGACTAGTACCAGGTGGCAAGGGGTTATCTACTTCTGCCTTGCAAAATAAATTTGCAAATGATGCATAATCGAGCATCAAGACAATAATTTCTGTCATTAACTGGAAAATATAACTACACCATATAGATTTTAACTTTTGAGGCCTTAAATATTAATCTATATCAAAACAAATATAAAGCAATGTACAATCAAGAAAGAAAGTTACAAAAGCTAGAGATGATAAAAAATGTAAACAAAGCATAATATTTGTAATTAGGCAGAGTAAATTCATGAGGGTAATACCTATTGCAAAGAAGAGTGATGACAGTTTTTATGATACCATCAAGCCTCAATTTTTTCTTCTTCCTGGTCACATCTATAGAGATCTGAACAGGAGTTCCATTGGGGTAGTCCTTCACGGCTTTCGTAACACGCAATCCCATAACAGAAGCCCTAGTTTTTGAGACATCAGTGGAAAGCTTTCCCAGAGCTAATCTCTCCAAGGTAGTGCAATACTCCAAATGTGAAACTGATGCGTTTCTCTTGTATATAACAGCACCTTCCCATGGCGACTCTGTATCTTCAAATTCTTCTTCAACATCCCAATCCAAGGACATCGTACTTTGTTCAGTATATGACTCATAATCATGTCCCTTGCATCTAGCTACATACTTATGAAGATCATTTGGTTCATTTCTAAAGTGGGCGGATATATGCCTAATTTTACAACTTGAAACCGTTCTATGTTGTAAAGGGGTAAAGGAATTACAGGAAAATTTTTGCTGGGAATTTGAATTGTAAATCTTCCATGGTGAAAAACGCAAAGGGGCAATATAGGATGAGTGGACTACAAGTGACATTATTAGGTTCCAGTGATGATGGGTAGGCCTAAAGCAACAAAATTTGATTTGGAATTCTGGTAATTATGCAAAAGCAATAGTTGCTTCTTCTTCTTTTTTTCAATGGCAAATATCAATTGAAAAATGTGACAAAATCAGCAGCTATGTCTATGCAACTATGCAATATGCTCAGACACTTTGAGTTTGCAGGAAGCAGTTGACAACAGGCACTGGATTCTGAAAGGGAAGTAAAAAAATTTGGAATGAATAAATAAAGGAAAATTATAGCAGGGTAAAGAAAACAAACATATTCCCAGTGAATTAGAATAATGAGTTGCAATACAATACATAATTAAACAGAGGAAGAGGTTGAAGCAAAATGAAAATGAAGTTGAAACTAACAAAAGGGTAGCCAAGCCTGTATTCAAAGAATATGATACCCAAAAATAAAAAAGAGGACTTACAGTTACAGAGGTGGAAGAGACGAGGATGGAGGGAACACTGCCAAGAATTAAGGAAAGCAAAGAGAGAAGAGATAAAATTGTGCCAAAGGCGAGGAGGACACGGCGAAACACTAAAAAATAAAATAAATCGTTGCGTTTTTTTTTTTTTTTGTTTCTGTTAAATTTCATTTTTGGGGAAAATATTCATCTTTTTTAAAAGATATATATTTATATTATTTTAAATAAGAGAAATACATAATTTAATTTTTTTATTTAAATTTTAAATTCAAAAAAAAATCACTCACTCTATCTCCTATAATTTTTATTGCTTGCGTTTTTCTCTCACTTCAAATAACATAACTATGTATTCTTTAAAAAACAAACATTAAACCCTTCATGTTTTTATTATAATAATTTGAAAATAAACAATAACCTTTTATTATTAATTAATCACTTGCCACTTGCTAGTAATGAATTTTTAAACTACATCAAGCAATGTTAATAAAATCGGACTGGCTCGGTAAGGTCAACTAAAAAATTGGTGAACTGATTATATAATCGGTCCGGGTAAAGCAACGGGCCTACCATGCATCAGAACTGATATGATCCAGTGCCCGGCCGATTTTTGTGAAAACTGGTGATCCGGCCGGTCTCCAAAAAAAATCCAAAAAAAAATTTCAAAAAAAAATTATAATGAACATATTTGATTATTTTTTACTTATTGACTTACATAAGTTATGTATCTACAATACTAATATTATCTTAATTATGCACTATGCAGGAAATTTTGATTTAATTTATAGCTAAAGACGTAATTTAATGAACCTGAATCCCGTATCATGATCATTATATTTTTGTTTTGATTCTTTATTGGATAATAATGTGTGATTTATTATTTTTTATATTAAAATATTTAAAAATTTTATCATTTTTTTAGTAGTATGTTTATATGTTTTTAATATAAATTATAGATTTGTATATAATAATTGGGTTATCTGGTTCAACTAATGACCCACTGATTAAATGAATGACCAATATCTTAACCAGGTCAATGACCGATCGATTTTAATAAGATTTGCATAACTACAACCCAACTAATTAATCAACGAGTTCATTTTGAGTGTAACTAGAATAGGTATTCTCTGGTATTCAAAAAAATAAAGAATAGTGTTATCAAAAAAAAAAATAAAGAATAGGTATTATCTTATAAAAAAAAATATATATAAAAAGAAATAAATATAAAAGTAAAAATAATATAAATATGTTATTTTTTTTCATATTTATAAAACGGATATATTACGTGATCGATACATCAGTAACATCGAAAATATTATCTCAATCAACATAGCAACACCAGGTTTGCTAGGATCCATCAACACAATAATAAAATAAAATAATATTTGACATATGGATAAAAAAGAATAAAATATTTTTTCTATTTTATTTTTTAAAGTTTCATTGGACTAGAACCAAAATATATATTTTTAATGTTTTCTCTTTTTATTTTATTTTTAAAATACATCAGACATAAAATAAAATATTCACCATAAATTTGGCGTCTGAGACTTGGTTTGGGTCCAAAGATGGCCCGGGCTAAGCAGCACCTGCCGTTACCTCAGAAGCCCAATTGAGTCCTTGCCTGTTTGTCATGGGTATTGAAAAGGAGATGCTGTAGCCAATGAATTAGCTTGGTTGACTATTCTAAGCCCACATCATATGTGGCTAGGTCTCATGACCAATACGTAATTTTGCTCTCTAGAACATGTTTAACCTTAATCTGAGGTGGATCTATGAGATCAGATGAATCAGTCAATATGTAGAAGGCTACGTAGACTCAATTAATAGCTCTATTGGTGGAAACCTAGCCCAAGTTCAAATGGGGAAGATGTATAATTTTTTTTTACCTACTCCAATTATTTCTTTAAGATCCTTCTATCTTTACAACTCACAAGCTTTGATTCTTTGAATGGAATATGTAACTAATTCCGAGTCGATCGGGTTAGAAATGTATTTGATGAAATTAAACTCAAATTCTCTCTTCACAACCTGAAACTATGTTGCACCGACGTTGACACATAATACGAGATACGACACGACACTCCGACACGTTAATTCTAAAAAATATTAGATTTCAACTCGTTAGAACACATTTTAATATTACATAATATTTTAATTTATGTAGTGTATATTATATATATTTAATATTCAATAATTTAACAAAAAATGAAGTTAAACTTATAATATCCATCAATTTTGTAAATAAACATAAGATATCTCATATATTTATATTAAATTCAATAGAATGGTAATCGTAATTTAACGAATCTAATAGTTGGAACTAAAAACGTAATGCAACGTAGCCTTCAAATCCTTTTTTAAGTCTCCACAACACGTGTTGGAGTATCTAAGAGTGTATGAGTGTCGGAGAATGTCGAAAAATGTCACACACAACATGTCAAGTATTTTAAAATGCATAGGCCTAAATTACCAATTAAGATACACCCATGAAATATAAACCCCTCTCTTTAAAAGAAAGTTAAATATGAGGAGGTGCTATTCTTTAACAGACTTTTTATTGCGTGTTCTCTTCAAATTAATTATAGGTTTTTCAAGCATATCCCAAAGCTATATCTACTACATCCACTTATTGTGTGCTCCCTTGATAGTGGACGTTGAACAATGAGAGGTTGGTTTGAACCTGAACGATTACAATTTCTCAGTTACATATTAATCTCGAGAAGCTTCTAGCTAATAGACTAAAAACTGTACTAGATATAATAAACATTATATACTTGTATGATCAAAACACAGCAGAGAAAGCAAAGAAACCCAAACTCCTATTGCTTTGGTTAGCACATTCTAGATAATTATCTTATTTTTTGATATGAAAACTGCACTCTTGCAACGGTCAGTTAAAGTGATGATGCTACGGTTATGCCCTATGGGTTCTTCACAAATACAACTCAGACACAAGGGCATTTCGGTCCACTGGAAAAAACACACAACGAGAATGTTGCACTCCTCAATAGGTTACGTCCAAATTGGAACTCTGCAAAAGAATGAAAAAGCTCCAGCATTTATTATACAAGCTTCCTTGTTTTTTTTGTTTTTATATAAAACCAACTCACATGTTATAGGGTCTTGGAAATGTTCAGCTTTTTTTCTTGTCATAGAATCATATGGATGGTTCACGGGTTACACAAAGCCTAGACTCTCTCTGGTTCTACACTAACATCTTGACTTACACAGATGACCCTTTAGCTTCTTTGACTGATCAATTTTCACCATTAGTCCATGCCAAAGAGCTTCCCAAGAGAGACTTGCAGATACCCAATACCCCATTCCTTGTGAATCAGCAAGAAGAGTCTCAGAATGTTGGTGAAATTTCATCAGCATTTGAAGAATTGAGAGTCATGTCAGAAGACTCAGAAATGGTGAAATCTGCAGGGAGGGAAAGAGAGAAGAGAGAGAGGAGAAAGAGGAGGAAGTGGAACAAGTTTGGGCCAAATGGAACAAAGGTGATTCTTGGAGGGCTTGATGTTAGGGAAGTTGGTGGATTTTTTAAGTTTCAGCAGCAAACTAAGTTGCCTCCATTTGATGATGATGTGGCAATGAAACAACATCTCAAGTCATGGGCTTATGCAGTTGCATGCACTGTCAAATAAAGCAATTTGGAAGGTGAAACTAACTCTCTAGTGTAACTTCACCATCTGCATTGTCAAATTCTCACCTCCTCTCACTGTCAGATTTGAATGTCTTATGTGGGATGTTGAAAGATTAATGCATCCTTTCTCCCCATTTCATATCTGTACTGTTTTCTTCTGTAGTATTTGTGTGTATGAATTTAAACCTTGTTTGTTAGTGTTATTCCTATTATTGCTCAAGCGAGAATAATAGTTACGCTTAAATTGGAGGATGCTTTTTTTCTATTTATTTATGGAAAATATTTTTCTTATATTGTAGGAAAATAATTACCTCATACTGTAGAAATAAAATTACAAGTGAAACTCATAAATAAGAGGAGAGAAAAAAAAAGTGGTGAGACTGAACCTTTTTTATGTGTGTAGAAAAGTTGTTTATTTCATGTAAAATGAGATAAATAAAATCCTTTATTTATTTATTTTCATTCGGAGAAACGGGCTCGTATAACTATAGACTGCATACTCATAGTGCATACATCCGTCCAATTCACAAATTACAAAAGAGCCTCGTACTCGTACACTGGGCTTTTTTTTATGGGTTTATCATCTATCATTTAACATGACCACAAAAATTTTCCTACACACACAACATTTTGTGGGGCCCGCAGCAAAAAAAAAAAAAAAAAACTTCGGCACGCAAAACGAATCTCTATAACATAACACAATCACTTTTCCTACAACATAACTCTTATAAAACCCTTTTTTTATATACGTAGTTCAAAGAGAATGGCATAAATATATATATAAGCTCCAATTATTTATTGACACCTAAAGGATTTTTAGAAACTCTCTCTCCCTTCTTATTTTGTAAGATAGAAAGCAACTTGTGGTGCTGATATGCGATCACGGGGAGGAAATAATTTGAGATTTATTAGGCTTTTTACAACGGATTACTCTAATGGCACAAGTTATTAAGGGTCATGATTTTTATTTTCTATTTTTCTTTTGACATATGTATACATTGGAAACGTCCTCTTATCTTACACCAAAAAGCTTAAACAAATCTATACTGGCAAAGAAAAAGTTAAAAAGGTAAGAGAGGATAATGCCAAAAAAAGAAGAAGAAGCTAGAATGAAGGTAATCCCCTCAAACTGTGAACACTAGAAACTTCCCGTGATTTAAAACTAGTTAAGTTAACCCATCGTGTGCATGCACAAATAACCCGCAGTTAATTTGATGATTTAACAAATTTTAAAGAGTTGAGTTGCTGAGTTTTAAATTATATGAGATATATTACTCTTAAGTCTGAACCCATAGTTGAAAAGAGCTCCTTAAAATTAAAAAATAAGAAGTTATAGCACCTAAATATTATCTAGTTGGTAACCGAAGATATTTGTGATTTATCCTAATCTGCATCGTCCTTCTTAAAGGCAATGAAGTTTGGGCAAAGGATTAAATTGAGGGGTAATCAAGTGGGAATGACATCAATTATATTTTCCTTAATTTCTTGTTTTTAACTTACGGTCTGGATAGAATTTTAAGTTCTGAATTCGATAATCTTTTCTTTCTATTACATGCCATAGATCAAAAACAAAACAAATTTGCATGTTTGTTTCCATTTCATTGCTGCCATGCAATGATAATATCTACCATGATTTGCACTTCAGAACACTAAACAAATAAAATTATCATAACAACGAATTTTTTTTTGAAATCTCAAGGTTCTTAACATGGTATCAGAGCGTTCGAAATCTCACCGCCTCCCACTTTCTTTGTAGTGGAATTTCCACATGTAGGTTGGCTTGTATGTTGTCCACCCTTCAAGCCCAGTGAACTCTCGTGTGAGGGGGCGTGTTGAGAAATATAGTCCTTCATTGGTTGTATGGGCAACTAATGTGAGGTTTATAAAGTCTTGGACACTCCCATCCTTTGAGCTAGCTTTTGGGTGGTGTATCCCAAGATTCTTTACATACCTTTGCGAGATTTTAACTTTTGTGCCGATATTAACACGGCCTGCAATGGCAACTTTGCAATGTATATATACACACCTTTGGCATGTTCTATTTTGTCAAGTTCTAAGAGCTGCGGATACCTCTCTTTTAATACAAGCTTTTATAAATTAACCATGTCCACTTGAAGGTCATAACATTTGGTAGTGGCACAGTTTGATATTGTAAGGAAGCAAAAATGGTTGCAGTAAATGATGGAATCCGCAGCAGAAAGAAGGCATCATCAAGAGGAGATAACAGGTTTGTTGGTGTAAGACAAAGACCCTCAGGGAGATGGGTGTCAGTGATTAAGGACTCATTTAAAAAGGTTAGGCTTTGGCTTGGAACATTTGACACAGCTGAGGATGCAGCTCTTGCATATGACAATGCTGCTCGTGCTTTGCGTGGTGCCAATGCTCGCACCAACTTTGATTTGCCAGAATCTGCAACCCCTTGTGGTGGTGGTGGTCCCAACTACATGCCAGATATCATTGAGCCTTTTTCATTTGAGGATGTGTGTGAGCCAGGTGAAGGTGAAGGTGCTGGTGGCCTTCTTGGTGCACTCAAGGCTAAACTGATTCATGAAAAGGGGTTGAAGTTTCCCTCACATGCTAGTTCCCCAATTGCTGGTGTTGAATCTAGTGCTGCAAGATCAACTCAGAAGTATAATGGGAAAAAAGAGCTATCATCATCTGGTTCTGACTTCCCTCGGATGAATGGAAGTTCAAGCAGCACTGTGCCGGGTTTAACTTGTACTTTATCAAACACTTCTGCTAAGAGTGTGCTTATCCCTTATCATGATGAAGGTGCTCTAGCATGCAATGATGCTGGAGTCAACTCAAATCAAATTTCTCAACCTCCACCCATGACAAGTGTGAGTTGGTCCAATGAAATAGTAGTATATGATATGCCTTGGCCTACACAGATTTGTCAAGTTCCTGAAAGTAGCTTGTTTGCCCCTGTAAGTGCAGGCACCTCTACAAGCCCACTTTCTGGGGTCCATGAGTCCACTATTGGTATGAAAAATTCAGATCTTAGGCCTTCAATTGGTAACAGAAGTGACCAAGTCAATGTAATGGGCATGCAATTGCCTCTAATTGGTGGAGCAACAACTGAAGGATTTTGGACACCCAAGCACACTCAATTCGTGCTGTGTGAGAACAGCAGTTGGTTTGGTTCTAGTGGCTCATGGGATCCTGTTCTCTCTGTGTCCTCTGAGCTAGCTTGATTAGTGTCAACAAGTCAGCGAAAGAAATTTTAATTAGTCAAATTCCTAGTATAATCTTCTAATATCCTTTTTCTTAAATGAGGGAAAAAGAATGTTAAGTTTATTCCCTTCATTTGATATATATGTAACCGTAATTTTCATCATTTTGATCTGTAATGCATTATTAATTCATCTTAATTTATCCTTGTGCTGGAAGTCAAGCTCATACTTGGGGTTTTTCTAGTTCTGTTTTCTTTTTTTATTTCTTGGGGTTAAAGATGTAGAAGTTTTTTTGTCAGACTTTATTTTATTCACCAAAAGTTTTTTGATTTTTAATGACAAGAAGTTTTTATTAGCCAAAAATCTGAACAATTTCAACCAGATTTTTTATTAAAAATGATTACTGTGTGGTTTTACTTATGAAAAAGGTCCCATTCAATACTTGAATGGTTAATTAATGTGATTACTTGTTAATCACTTCATAATAGCTTTGACTACTCAAGTGATATCCTTTATATTAATTCTCATAATTTTGATTCCCAGATGGTAAAAGCAAGTGCTTGTGAAGTATGGTAGAGTTTTCAGGATCTTATTATTTTTATGTGTCTAAATGAAGGGTCCCACATTTGATATAATCTAAATCAAGGGAATTTAAGTACATACAGGGATGCTTTGATGCCCTGCTTTACTATTTATTCCAATACAGAAAATACTAATTTTGCACAAATTTCTTGCCCAACAATTCATTTAGCTCATCAGAACCACCTTAAGTAAATTATTATATGCAAGTTAAAATCCTCAAAATTATGTAATAGGTCAAGCTTCATTGACAAGATCTGGTAGAAAATCGAATATAATCGAAGACTATAAAGTGATGGGCATTTTGTAGGATAGGGGACATGACATAACCTGCGAGATGCACAATCTATAGCTAATGGACGAGAGTTTTTGCATGTTGGCATTCCTTTTTCTTATCTATTCTATATGATGAGAATCCAGGTTGCATCCCGTCATTTCCACTCAAAGGAAAGCAAGTACTAGTGCTTATATGTTTAAAATGAATGGTCCTGGTTATTGGTTATCCAACATACCTCTTAATATTCACAAAGAATCATGGACTTGTATTAAATGGAAAATGCATCATATAATTGCAGAAAATTGGCTCATGTATTTTGATATATATTAGTTTTATTTATATTCATCTTTAGTAAGTATGTTTGGTGATTTAAAAAAATTGTTAGAAAACAACAAATGACCTACTTGTGTAAGAGAGAGGATTTATTTAGGTTACCAGAGGTGGTATATAAGAAGCTTAGGATTTTGGTTAGGTTAAAACTTACAAGAGGTTTTAAACCTAAAAAAATTGCTAAACCATGCATATTGAACTCTTTTTTCTTTCTGTACTGATATTTTTATTTGTTAATTTTTTCTTATTGGTGATTTGTACAACACAAACATGACATTTGGAGTTCAAGCGCTTATTCTCTTAGTTTTCTGCTGCTGCTTCTCCAAGATTTTGAAGTGACCAAATTGCTCTAAGATTTGATATTTTGTTCTGGCTTTCCATGTATTGTTCAGCTGCTACTCAAAAGATGAAAGTATTAGATACCATGTACATGAGAGGGGGAGAAGCACCATTTCTGCCACAGTACGTTCCACCCAAAAGATGCCTATCACCAATCACATATAATTCAAATGCAGAAAAGGGTGAAGGAACGTGGACAAACATTAAAACACAACCTCTTCCCTGCCTAGGTGAAATGTAAATATAAAACCGGTGGTCTAAATTAGGCCAATAATATCAAGGTCATGATATCAACCAAAATAAAGCATGTGGAAGAGCATATTCCACACACACACACACACGGAGAGACTTCAATTTTGCTTTCTTACCACTTATTCTGGAATATATATATAAACCTATGGGTAGCTTAATGTTGCATTGCAACCATTTGAACATTTTCTGAAATAGAGAAAGATAGAGGGAGGCTTCACTCTGGCTCTAAAGAGTGCTGAAACAGAATTGCATTGCTGAAATGAAGAGTTGTGATGAATGGAAACCTTTTCTTGTAATGATAGCAATTGATTTTTCTTTAACCATAGTAAATATTCTTCTCAAGAAAGTCCTTGAAGAAGGAATGGACCATTTGGTTCTTATCACATATCGTCTGTTAATTTCTACTATTTTCTTAGTCCCACTCAGCTACTTTTGGGAAAGGTGGGTACCCTCAATTACTTGATTCAGTACCCTTTCTATATTTATTTATTTATTAATTTTAATATTGTTAGCATGCAGATAGCCAAGTTACAATAATGCAAGACTTTGTATTTTCTTGCAGAAATGGAAGACCACGTCTCACATTCCGAATTTCATGTTTCCTTTTCTTCAGTGCCATTGTTGGGTTAGTCACAAATATACAATCTTTCTTTGTTGTTCCAATTCTCACTAGTTCTTTTTCTTCAAAATTGTGTGTTGTGGTTAACATGATTGTAAAAAATACCGTAATGAATACTTTCTTGTAGGGCATCGGTCACACAATACTTATTCCTTCTAGGGATCCAATACACCTCAGCTACCTTTGCTTGTGCCTTTGTCAATATGGTGCCTGTGATCACATTCATTATGGCATTACCATTTGGGTATGAAACTATGAATATGTACACAAACCTGAATTATTCTAGGCTATTCTTTTATTAACTATCATCACCCAAATAGATGATAACTGCATCATCCATTCCCTTTTCTCTTGATTCTACTACAGATTAGAGACTGTGAACATCAAATGCAACAGTGGCAAAGCGAAGATTCTTGGTGCATTTGTGTGCATAGGAGGGGCATTGTTGTTGACACTTTACAAGGGAAAGCCCTTGTTTGATTATTCTAACTATCAATCTGTAGCTCCAGAAGCCATGAGATCTACAATGAAGCAAGATTCTACTACTAGAATGACAGAGAAATGGACCATTGGTGTAATAGCTTTGATTCTAGGAACCAGCTTTTGGTCTTCTTGGTTTATTTTGCAATCAAATATAGGAAAGAGATACCCATGCCAATATTCTAGCACTGCCATCATGACCTTCTTTGGAGCCATTCAATCAGCTATTCTTGGCTTGTCCACTGGCAGGAACTTGTCCAAGTGGGTTCTCAAGGGAAAGATACAAATAATCACTGTTCTATATTCTGTAAGTACACACTCTTATTAGTTAGAATGTTAGATAATGAATCAAAGTTTGGCTTATGGTTACAGCTGTTTTCTGATTCCGGGTATTCTGTTTAAAAAAGAAAAGAAAAGATAAAAACATCCAACAATGACCATTCCCTAAAATATGCCTTACTAGAGTTGAGGGTGGTGTCAATTAGAAGAGTGATAATATATTTGTATAGAATGTGGTTTAGGAAGTTTGTTAACAAAAGTGAAACGTTTTTGTGTTTGCAGGGGATGGTTGGATCAGGTTTCTGCTATGTGGGCATGTCATGGTGTGTCAAGAAAAGGGGTCCAGTCTTTACTGCAGCATTCAGCCCTCTTGTTCAGATAATGGCAGCCATGATTGATATCCCGGTCTTGCATGAACAGCTCCATCTTGGAAGGTGAACTCTTCTTCTACCACTTAAGTTCTTGTTAGAATTAAGAGGGAAATAGAAAAATCATCCTTTAAATCTGATTTTGCATCTTTGTGCTTGTTGTTTAGCGTGATGGGATCTATGTTGGTCATGATCGGATTATACATTCTTCTATGGGGTAAGAGCAAGAGATGCAAAGCCCTCCAAGAAGTTGATGAAGTAAAGGAACAAGAGCCGCAAATACAACATACTGCCGTCTCCTGTGATTCACAGTCTCACTGAGATCAATTCGGGTTATATTTATAAAATTTTTGCTTACCAACTATACACCATTTATTGAATTATATTATGTAGTTTCGAAAATACATAATGTAATTTATAAATAAATACTTCCCCATTTGTAATTATTATTTTTACGCCGCAATCGCGTAGAAAAAACTTACACAATTTTAAATGAAACACGGTGTCGTGGTGCATGTTGGTTGATTGTTTTACCTAATACTTTAAAAATCACTCTCCGTTAAACCCGACTAGCGAGTGTGGGATAGAGGAAATTCTTGTACGCAGCCTTACCCTTTTACCTAATACTTTATCAGAAAAATATTTCTGCAGTTAATGCAGATAAGTTATTTGCATTTACTTCCAAAACGACGTCGTTTTGGGATTGAAAAATTAGAAAATTATAATTATAAAGACTATAATAACCCTAAAATAAATTAAAATTACAAAAACACCATGATTTTCGTCCCAAAACGACGTCGTATTGGGCTTACTGCAGATAACTTATCTACAGTAACGGCAGAAAAAGTGAACCCATACTTTATTGGAAAAAATATGTGTCATTTTAAAGGATATAAAATTGTCATTTTCAGAGAGAGAAAAAGATAGATAAAGGAGGAGAGAGAATTGACAAAAAAATAAAGGTGTGGGTCTCACCTCTTTGTGAGAGTGAAATGATATAAGTTGTGTCATTTAAAAGGATAAACATTTTTTCCTACTTTATTATTCTCTTAATTTCCAAAGAAGGAGAACCGAGAATATAAAAGTTCAATAAATGTAAGGTTTATCGTCTTAAGAGATAAAGTTTTCTTCGATAACCCAAAACTACTACTTCTAGGAGTGTTACGAAAATTAATATAAGATGTTTTGGTAAAATTCAATAACAAAATCCCAAAGTGTAGCTTAGTTGGTAAGTGGATTGTAGCTTAAAGATCGAACTCCCGTGGTTGATGAAGTCAATGGTTCAATTCCTACAAGAAACACTTTGAGGCTGGTGATGAAAATCATTACGCTTCAAGCCATGAAGGGATTAGTCTCATATTAGGAAATAGGGTATAATAACCATCACATGTAATTGTGGATTTAATTATGGATTAATAATTTTATCATAATACTCACGAATAATTAAAATGGGAGTATAAGAAATTCCAAATCACTTGGTTCCTACCATGTTAAGAACTTTGAGGTCACCACCCCAAAAGCTAGTTCAAAGGGTGGGAGTGCCCAATGCCTTATAAACCTCACATTGGTGGTATGGGCAACTAATGTGAGGTTTATAAGGCCTTGGGCACTCCCACCCTTTGAGCTAGCTTTTGGGGTGGTGACCTCAAGGTTCTTAACATGGTATCAGAGCGTTCGAAATCTCACCGCCTCCCACTTTCTTTGTAGTTGAATTTCCATATGTAGGTGGGCTTGTATGTTGTCCACCCTTCAAGCCCAGTGGACTCTAGTGTGAGGGGGCGTGTTGAGAAATATAGTCCCACATTAGTTGTATGGGCAACTAATGTGAGGTTTATAAGACCTTGGGCATTCCCACCCTTTGAGCTAGCTTTTGGGGTGGTGACCTCAAGGTTCTTGTGAGAAATTTTCAGAGAAACGCATTGGTACCCATATTTTCGTATGGGATTCACTGTGGAGAGGTTCTTTTTCCCCTAAGATTTCGGGTTTCATGGAAAAGATGGATTTTGATTGAACTTGAGGCCATGAGAGCTTGAAGTAAGCTTTTCCCTTCATTCTTGGGTATATTGTGGTAAGGAATCACCTTTCTTTTCTTGTTTCCATGAAATTTTAAGAATTCTAGGTTTGAGGAATAATGAATTCGAAATTTTAATGGTGTGATGAGTTAGAGAGTGATTTGGATATAGCTTCTTTTGTTAAATATGCTTGGGATTGGCTCCTGTAAAAAGAAAAAATATAAAATCACAATTTAGAACACTTTGATAAATTGGATTCAAAATCAAGTGTAGGTGTCTTTTATGTTTAGTCTTGAAAATTGAATATGATAGAGTAGTATATATGTACGATTGTCTTCACATATTTGGAATAGGTTGTGATATTGTGAGAGATTTTGGTTGTGACCCCTTGAGAAGTGCATTGGAGGACAATGCTCGACAGGTAAGCTTTTGGTCATTGGGGTTAATCCCCCGTTTGTTTCACCAAAATCCGAGAGAGGATGGTTCTTTGATATGGTATGTTGAAAATGATTTGTTATATGTTGCATGAATATGCATGTATGTATGTTTGTGTGCCACACAAGACGATGTTTCCTTGCGCAAAGCATAAGACGGTGTTTCCTTATGCATAGTATGAGACGGTGTTTCCTCATACGGTATGTTGCAAGACGATGTTTCCTTGTGTAATGCATACTTGGTTATATTCTCTGACCAATAGGATTTATTATTTGCACACTGCATTAATATACATATTCTGATGCATGCATAGATTTTATACTGTGGTTATACTATAAGTGAGCTTAGGGGTGGAGGAGCCATCCAAGAGTCCCTAACTTATTGAAGTAATTTCTATTATCTCACCCCACGTTACGGGAAATTTCATTTAATGTACAGGAGCTAATGGTGCCGAGGCATAACGTGGCAAAAGGTCAGAAGAGAGATACTATCTGACATGATAGTATGATTTGATTGATATGCTCATATGTATTTGGCATAATTTTATTTTGGATATGTATCTATATGCCATGTCATTATTTTGAGAGCATAAGGGATGTCTATGCCATGTTACTAGTCTGTATAAGTTGTAGTGATGCATGCTTAGGTATATATTACTTATTTAATTGCATCTCTTTTGTTTATTTGATGTAATTGTTTAAGTAACATTATGGACATTATATGGAGATCATATTATTATGAGATAGCCGAGGCCGTGGATGACTAAGCAAGATGTTTATTCATTTTGTGGTATGCTTGGTATATTGATAAATTGTTAATCATGTGAAAAATTCTAGGATGAGAATTAATCCCAATAGTCCGAAAAACAGACAGAATGTCGTTTGCGAAATGTAAAAAGAGTAGATATGATTGCAATACGTAAGGAAAAAGAAAAAAGTTAACCACAAGTTTCCGCATTTAATAAGTTAAAATGTGCTGCGCTTGATATCATATGAATGTTAATTAACCGGCTGCAGACAAGGCGTTACATAGGGACACCCTGAGTTTACTAAAAAAAAAAAATTCATATAACAAAGAAACAAATAAAATTATTAAAATATCCTTTATTAGTCTTTTCAATTCCCACAATGGTGTAATTTTAGAATTGTTGGAGATAATTTTATTTCCTATGGCAAGAAAAATATTTTTCTTATAAATATGTAGCAAAACATGATAATTTCTTTTAAAATAAAATAAAATTATATTTTTTAAAATGAAAAATATTTTTTTCCTTATTTTTATTATTCAACCTGGGAAAACCTAAGTAAGTTGTTATTATTATTATAAGACTTAAATATTCAATTATTGAACTTGACGAGGTGGAAAATATCTTGAAGATTCAATATATCTCGGCTAAAATTTAAAATAAAATAATGCACCTAGTTTTATTTTTTTCTTAACCTTTTATGATTATTGACACCTGAATCTTAATTTTTTTTTTAATTTTTAATAAAAGAGCCGAAGATATGTTTGACGGAGTGATTTTATTAGGCTCCTAATGAATCAACTCACTTATGAATGGATGTAGAAAAAAAAAAGTGAGATAGTAATTAGGTAAAACTAAATATTGAAAAACGAAAAGGAAACAGGAAATAAGATTGATCGACTATTTTCTCCATATTTAAAGAAAATCATTTGCTCCCCTTTCCAAATTATACGTTAATTTGTTTCTCTTCTCAAATTGTTTATGGAGTAAATTTTTTTATGTTAAAATTTCACATGATATCATCATTAACACTAGAGATAGACACATTTATTAAATATACGAGGATTAATTATTATTAATGAAAAAAAAAGATAAACATAAAAATTTCATGTGACCAAGTGGTTCAATACTTCAATTCATTTGAAAATTTAATATGAGAGAATCTATTTGCACGATGGAGTGAATCATTTTATATCTTACTTAACATGATATAGTAGTGTGAGAACTATAATTAAACAAAGGTAAATCAATAATAATAAAAAAAAGAAAAGAAAAATTAAAATAGATATTTACAAAATTATTACCATAGATTATAATTATAATTTTCCACATAACTATTAAAATAAAGGGAAAAATTATAGTTATTATTATTTATGTTATCACTTCATATTATTAATTTTATTATTGTTAAATCAACAATTGAAAAGTAACATTAAATAAAAGTCGTTGATTTAATTTTGATTCAATAATAATAAAATTAGTAATAAGAGGTGATAAGAAAAAATGAAAATAAATATAAATAAGGGACATGATATACTTACTACTAAAAATATTTATCACATTTATAACAAATTTAATCACCGTTGATTTCTGTCAATCTAACGGTTATATTTATTAATAATTAATTAATAAGTACAACTCAATAATTTCTAAATAAATATAACCATTAGATTGATGAAAATCAACGATAATTAAGTTAGTTATAAAAATGATAAATATTTTTTGTGGTAATTATATTCTTCCTCCGTCAAGAAATCTATTTTCAAAATATAAAATAGGGACAAAATTTGAAATAGAGAGAGCTAGAGACTTCCCCTTCCATTCCCTGTGCCTCGTGTCAGTGCGGCTTTGCGCAGTTCACCTTGCTTGTACAATCTATTATTTTTCTATGGTATATATTCATTCAGCGAATTTAGGGTTAGAGTTCAGAGTTTTTTTGAGAATCGATGATGGCAGAAGAGGAGGCTAAGCTTAAGCCTCGACGACTCAGAGGTCACGAGGACAGCACTTCCTGCTGCATTGCCTCACGTGACCGCCCTCACCTCATCGTCACTTCCGGCGATGTGAGCGCTCCTTTCTAACTTATCTCTCTCTCTCTCTCTCTCTCTCTCTCTCTTATTTCGCTGGGGTTCACGGTTCAACAATACTTCCTTTCATTTCACCTGCTATGTTATTATCATTTATGATATGATGCTAAATTTCAACAAAGTCTAGACTCGTCTTCTTGCTTTCGGAAATTTAACTTAACTATCTGTTTCTAATTGTATCTGTTCCAAAAAAAAAAAAAAAGGATGGTCGCGTTTGCTGGTTTGACTTGCGATGCAATGATGTGCCGCGACTCAGGATGGATGTCAGCGTCGAACCCATTCCCTCCTTGAGTTTCAAGTCAGGTCTGTTCTTTTGTATTTTAACCATTGGTTTTAATTTAGCTACCGCATGCTGAATCTTTGTTTCGAACTCTTATTATATATGTAATTACCCAAGGGTGATGGCTAACTACTACTTAATTTTGTCATGAATTTTTTGTTCTTGGTGTGAGACCTAGGTTGCTTTTCATTCATTTTGAGGAAACATCACAAATGGTTGAGTCAATGGACAATTTTTTGTCTTGTTAGCTGTTGGATGATTAATGCGTTAATTTTAATTTTGTTATATGCATTAATTTTATCTTGTCTCATGGCTTCCTCCACCGGCTCTACCGCTACGTCTTCAGCTCCCAACTCGCAGGTATATGGTGAAAATCAGTCCATTCAGATAACTAATCACAAGTTGAATGGAAAAAAACTTCCTCCAATGGTCTCAATAAGTCCAATTGGTTATTAGAGGAAGGGGAAAGATGGGTTATCTCACGGGAAAGACTAAAGAACCTCGTGAAAATGATCCAAAATATGAAGATTGGGAGATCGACAACTCTATTGTCATGGCTTGGCTGACTAAGTCTATGGAACCTCAAATTAGCCACACTTATTTATTCCTTAAGACAGCTAAGGAGATTTGGCATGCTGTAAAAAAGAATTATTCGGACCTAGAAAATACCTCTCAAGTCTTTTGAGATCAAGAATAAACTAAAAAAGTTGCATCAAGGAGGCATGTCTGTCACTGAATACTATACTAAACTGCAAAATTTGTGGCATGAACTTGATCTCCACTATGAGACTAATCTTGGAGGCTTGGCAACTGACATCAAGTTTCAGAAACACTTGGCGAAGGAGAGACTTTATGAGTTCTTAGCTTCCTTAATCGAGACCTTGATGAGGTTAGAGGATGTGTTCTAGGATAGCGACCATTTCCCTCTCTTGATGACGCCTTTGCTGAAGTTCGAAGGGAAGCTAGTAGGAGGCATGTCATGTTAGGGGAGGAATCGTCTTTGGATGTGAAGAAGATTGCTGACGTGTCTGCCTTAGCTGTCAAGGGCAACCCTGATCGTGCCTCTAGAGATTAGAAACGGACAGGTAGACCACGGTGTACTCACTGCAATAAAGAGGGTCATACTCGTGACACTTGTTGGGATATTTATGGAAAGCTAGCAAGTTGGAAGCCTAAAGGGAAAAACAAGAGTCGTGGCTATCATGCCTTGGTTGAAGACAAGACAGAGGACGACCGAGCCCCAGGTGATTCAAGTGGTGTTTTCCTAGCAAGGCTCAGTTTGATCAACTTCAAAGGCTTCTAAATACGTCTACTAGTCCTTAACCCAGTGTTCCATCTAGCAATGTGGCTAAACAAGGTACTGTGTTTCATGTTGATGGTAGTACTCATTGGATACTTGACTCCGGGGCCTTTGATCACATGATAGGTAATCCAATATTGTTTTATGGGAAAAACTACTCTTATGCAACATAAGAGTAATTTATCTCCTATATACCCATCGAAAACCGTGACACTTTTTTTTTCTTCCTTTTTTTGTAAATAGTAGGCCCCACCACATGTGTCTCTACAACATAAGATATCTTCTCTCATGTAACATGAGATTAGATGAACCCTTGTTTTATTCCTATAATCCATGTTATGGGAACTCTCGGGTCAAAATATCGGATGAAAGTTTTTCCCAAATTGCTAGGAAAAGGTCAATTAAACTCTCCAAGAAGATTGTGTTAAACTCTGTCCTACATGTCCCTAATTTAGCATGCAATATCATTTCTGTTAATAAGATGACAACAGAGCTTAATTGTGTTGCTAAATTTTCGGTGCATGATTGTGTTTTTCAGGAACAGGAATTGGAGAGGATGATTGACAGTGCTAAAGAAGAAAAAAGACTTTTACATTTTTTAGGGATATGATCATGTGGAGAATCAAGCTGCTTTTCTTGAAAATGGTCCTTTTTTTGTTTCCAATTATGGTGATGATGTAAGGTTGTGTCACCGTATGTTAGGCCACCTAAATTTTCATTATCTTCAAAATTTGTTACCAAATGTTTTTATGAATGAAAAACTTAGTGTTTTTTCTTGTAACATCTGTCAATTAGCAAAACACTCTCGTGTATCATATCCCATTAGGAAATATAAAGAATTCTCCCCTTTTACTTTTGTTTAGTGTGGGTTCATCTCGTGTAAAAATTTTTTGGACTCGAGATAACATTCATTGATGACCATTCTCGAGTGTGTTGGGTCTATATTCTCAAAGAAAAGTCTGATATGTACAAGATTTCAAAAAATTTCATGCCATGGTTGAAAACCAATGTGGCACCTACATAAAAATTCTTCGGACGAACAATGGTAAAGAATATTTTAATTCCGTCCTTGGAGAATACTTGTTTCATCATGGCATCCCTCATCAGAGTTCATGTCCTGATACTCCTCAATAGAATGAGGTAGCAGAGAGAAAGAATAGGCACCTTTTTGAAGTTGCTCGTGCTCTTATGTTTACCATAAATGTCCATAAATATTTGTGGGAGTAAGTCGTTCTAACTGCCTTTTACCTCATCAACTGGATGCCTTCCCGTGTCCTTCAGTTTCTTTCTCCGCTATCTAGTCTTTTTAAGACCTATCCATCTCTTAGCTCTATATCTTCACTTCCTCCAAAATTATGTGGATGTGTTGTGTTTGTCCATGTTCCATCACACCAACGATCTAAACTTGATCCTAAATCTCACGAGTGTGTCTTCATTGGATACTCTCCTACTTAAAAAGGATATAAATGTTATTCCCCATCTCTCCAAAGGTTTTTTTTTACTCTGTGGATGTCAGTTTCTTTGAGACTCGATCTTTCTTTTCTCGACCTTTTTTTCAGGGGGAGTTTCTAGATGAAGACCAGTCATGGGAACCCACAATTTTACCTCTTCCTTTATCCATCCTTTCATCATAGAACTCACCACAATTGGAAATAGGGAAAGATGAGCGGTTGGAAAAAGGTGGAGACAATAATCAGCGTAAACAATTGCTGGTTTGTAGTAGGAGACAACCTCCTCAAAATGTAAATAATCTAGACTCCTTGCACTGCCAGGATTCCACTTTGGCTTCTAGTTCCAACAACCTGGTTCTAACCTGGCATGCCTATGAGGATTTACATTTGCGAATTGCTCTCAGGAAAGAAACCAGGTCTTGTACTTCATATTCTATCTCTTAGTATGTCTCCTATGATATATTATCTCCATGTTTTTGTGCCTTCAACCCTGTCTTGGATAGTATGAAGATTCCAAAAAATATTCAAGAAGCCCTTGATGATCCAAATTAGAGGTTGGCTGTCATTGAAGAAATGGATGCTTTGGAAAGAAATAACATATGGGATGTCTTGGAATTACCAAGAGGAAAGTAACCAGTGGGTTGCAAGTGGGTGTACATCATAAAATTCAATGCAAATGGCAACATCAATAGATATAAGGCCAGACTAAATGCAAAGAGGTGCACTCAAACATATGGAATAGATTATCAAAAAACATTTGATCCTATTGCCAAACTCAACACTATTAGAGTCTTACCATCGTTAGCTGCTAATATTGATTGGCCCTAACAACAATTGGATGTGAAGAATAACTTTTTGAATGCTGACCTATATGAAGAAGTTTATATGGATCCTCCACCTATTTTCGAAAAAGGAGCTGACTTGGTGTGTAATTTAAAGAAGTCTCTCTATGGGCTCAAACAATCTCCTAGAGAATGGTTCGATAAATTCACCCAAGCGGTCAAGAGGAAGGGCTTCTTTCAGGCCCAAGCTGATCATATACTCTTCCACAAACATTTTAAGAATGGAAAGGTTTCCATTCTTATATTCTATGTGGATGACATAATCATTACTGGTGATGACTGTGAGTTTTAGATTCCTTAAAGGAATATCTAGCAGGTCAGTTTGAACTGAAAGACCTTGGAATCCTAAGGTATTTCCTTGGCATGGAAGTAGCCCGGAGCAAGACAGGGATCACACTCTAAAAAAAAATACATCTTAAATTTTCTTCAGGAGATAGGTATGCTAGGATGCAAACCAGTTGAAACACCTATGGAACCCAACATTAAGTTGGGTATTGAAGATGAGAAAGAGGTAGACAAGCAGCAATATCAGAGATTAATTGGAAAATTAATCTATTTGTCCCATACTCGACCTGACATTGCTTTTGCATTAAGCTTGGTTAGCCACTTTATGCATTCACCCAAAGATAAACATCTTGGTGCAATTTATAGAGTCCTAAGGTATTTCAAGAGTACACCAGGAAGGGGATTGTTCTTCAAAGAAGGATATAATAGGATGATTGAAATTTACACTGATGCAGATTGGGCAGGTTCATCGGTAGACAGAAAATCAATCTCAGGCTATTGCTCCTATGTTTGGGGAAAGTTAGTAACTCGGAGAAGAAAGAAGCAAACAGTGGTTGCAAGTAGTAGTGCTGTAGCAGAATTTCGAGCACTAGCTCATGGAGTTTGTGAGGGAGTCTGGTTAAGGCTATGTTGTGATAACAAAGCAGCAATAATATTGCTCAAAATCATGTTCATCATGACATAACAAAATATGTGGAAATTGATCGCCATTTCATCAAGGAGAAATTGGATGATGAGAGTGTGTGATGTCATATATCCCTACCAAAGAGCAAACTGCATACATTCTTACTAAAAGTCTACACATCAGTTTTTGATAACTTAATAGACAAGTTAAGAATGATCAATATTTACCTCCCAACTTAAGGGGGAGTGTGGGAAATTCATGTAATTAGGTGTTATAGGTTTAACTCATATTGCTTTCTTATTGTTTTACATATGGTACTTAGGTTCTTTCCTTTTTTACCCTTATGCTTTTGTTATATGTTGTAAAACTCATTCCATTAGTAATAAATGAATAAAACATAGAGTTTTCACAGTTTTCTTGCAAAATCCACTGTTAGATTGAAAGTCCTTATCATATAAATCATACCCATTAAATTTCACATTAGTCCAAAAATGTTTCTTACTATATTGATATGCATCAAGATTAATGTAATATACTTTTAGAATATATGAAAATGTGAACTATTTGATGATATTATTATTGATATTTATTTTTCATAATTTATGAGATGATCAACATGATGGGTAGTTATAATTCATTGGTTGGATCAATAAAAATTACATTTTATAGGAAGTTATTAAGTGGTGTAAATGTGTTAAGTATTAGCACATTAACTCATCTGAGTGGTGTAAAATTTTCCATGAATACTCTATTTTTCTTATTAAACTACGTGATGTTAGTTGTAGCAATAGAAATTAGAAGGGGAGAATTAGGGGAAAATGAGAAGATTTGAAGAGAGAGAAAGAGAAGTTAAATGAGGAATAAGGGAGAGGATAAGAGAGAAGAGATAATTGGAAGGAAGGCTATAATTGCTTAACTCATTGATTAATCTTGTGATTGGTGGGCTATCTATTTTATAGCCACTTACATATTCTAATAGATAAAGTATACTACCTAATAACATAATTTGAAATAAGATAACTAATACTACTAAAAAGATACAATAAACCAAACTTGTTAAGATAAACTAAACTAATCAAGATAAACATAAACTAAACAAATTGAGAAAACATAATTTGAATTCTATTAGCTTGGTTATGGAACTTGCTATATTCCTTCGCCCTTTGAAACAACCTTGTTCTCGAGATTGAGTTGCGCTTCCATCGGGATCAAAGATGAATTGTTCTGCCTTCCATGTGTGTTGTGTTGGCCTCATCAATCAATTAAAATTATCTATGCGACTTGGCGTAACTATTTTTCGGAATAGTTGCTCTTGCACCTTTGTGTTGCACATGCCACCTGACCCAATCATCACAGTTGTATATCAGTTGTGCTGCTGCTTCCCACTGCACGTAACGATGATGATCTTATTTTCAGAGTGTGGATGGACACACAAGGTTTTTGTGGCTAGAGAAACAATAACATAGGACTCATTCTCTAAATGCGATTGGTCGGCTTTTGGATCTACTTGATCTGCCTCTAGTAGTTGGTTCTCTTCCGATTGGTGAACAATCCACTTTAACAAATACCGACGAAATGCATTTTGAATCTTGATGGCTGCTAGTAACTTATTGTAAGAATCACTTACGGTATAAATTATATTTTGATATTCTTATTTCAGCAATTCTATGGTAGCTCTTTATTTTGATACCGCTGCCCAGTTAGGATTATGATTGATCATTGGATAATTGTGTTAGGACACCGATTCATAAAGTGTACACTAGACACAAGAACAAGGGATCTTATCCTATGTAAGGAAGGATGAGAACAAATGAAAAAACTGAATTATTTGTCGCGAAAGAGACTGAATTAGTTAAAATTAGTTACCGATCAGAGAATAGGTAAAAGGTAAATATTAGTTTATAGAGAGAGAGAATATATAAGAGATAAAGATAAGGTTTAGTTAGTTATTTGGTACTAGAATTAATACAGGAAGGAAGTCGAGAGGCAGGGTAGGAAAAAATAGAATAAGGAGAGTAGAGGAAAGCCAGGTATCTCGAACACCTTAGAGCATAGTTGTTAGTATCGCACTATGCACAATACGTATTATACGATATGATACAATACAGAAGTAGAACAATACGAATTGGTTGCCTGTTTCGGAATTTTTCTTGTATCAGACCGTGAATTGTTGTATTGTACGATTTAGTATCGAATCGTATATCATATCACAATTTAGGATTCGAAAAGCAAACCAAGATTTATGATTTTCAATTAAAAAAAATATGAAAAATCACTGGAAAGGAAATAGAAATATGATTTGTGATTCAAATTCGAAAATGAATCTGGAAAGTCACTATAAATTAGGGAAACAATCAAACAAATATTCAAATTAATACAAATCTCTTCAATCTTCAAAAAAAAATAAAAAAATTGATACAAATTTGAAAAAACAGAGACTTGCGCATAGGAAAACATAGTCTCTTAGAGAAGTTTTCTAAGAGCTACAGTTCAGACAAGGAGAGAAATTGGAGGCTTAGAATACAATTTATATGATATTATATATTTTTAAATTATTTTTTATTATGCTTCTGAATCTTATGATTTGATACAATTCACAATACACTATACTAAGAAATAGCCAAACGATACACGATTCAACCACCTTGCTGGAGAGTGATAGAGTCAATTGGTGTGATTTTTCACTTTGTGCATTGTATTTCATTTTTCTTCTCTGGTTATTGTTCTGGATAAGAGAGAGTTCAATAAAATTTGAGTTTGTTCCGATTTTTTCTGTGTTCATTCTCTGAGAACTAACAGATTGTTGAATGAATCTCAATGCAGAATCCAATGGTCATTAGTGCAAGGGGTAACACAACAAAAAGTACCATAGAAAACTCTTTATTTAGAAAGACCTCATGATTCCTTATTCGTGTAAAGCACATGACCTTTTTGCATGGGGTTTCCCCAACAGATATGTTGAGGGATTGGCAGTTTTGCTCAATTGATTTTCTCTGTCTGTCTTGTCTTTTTTTTGTGTGTGTTTTGTTTTTGTTCTTATGTTAAGGAGGATTCCTTATCCTCTCTTCTCTTTGTAATTTTTTCTTTTCATCTTAATAAATTTATTCTTCAATAAAAAAGAGAGATTATCTTATGGAATTCCATCGCTGTTTTTATGCATTGGAGACATCCAATTTCATTTAGTAGATGATTATACTTACAACTTTTGCAAACAATTGTCACTTGAATCAGACAGGGAAGATAAGATTTATGTCTCCTCAGGAAAGGAAATCAAGTGTTTCGATGTGCGCCTGGTAAGCATTTTATGGGCTCCAAAGATGATTGATTTCAGTGCTTTCTATTTCCTTTTACAAGACACCTCTCCTTTTGTTTTTGTTCTTATGTTAAGGAGGATTCCTTATCCTCTCTTCGATGTGTGTGTGGCATCGCATTTATTACATAATTTATTTTCATCTTAAGGATATCTGGATATGTATGCATATTTTATTAGTTTTGATTGATTCTTGTTCCATCTTAGTTATTTAGGCTCTTTGGATAGATTATTAATTATTATACTGATCCTTTGTATATTATGTTCTGTTTTGAAGGCCACCACCAAATGGGAGCCATTGGAGAATTATAATTATAACAAAGAGGAGATAAACCAGGTAGATAGTAGGACTTGTATTCAAATATAATGTTATGCGTTTACTAGATCTTGTTGAATGTTACTGCTGTTTAGTTACTGTCAGTAAATGCTAGCATAACTCAAGTTGATGGACAATGTCACAAATAGGGAATGCTTCTTTTTCAGTGGCTTTTCCTTTCCTATTTGTTCTCGCTATTCTGCATAGTTTTTCCATTAGTCACTTGTATTCTATTTAAAATCAAGCCTTAAATTGGGACGTTCTTTCCACAGAGATTTAAATGATTGAGAAATTAGTGAATTATGTTGAAAGAGAGAATGTTTGAGAGAAATTGTGTGTGTTGGCTGCACATTTGATCTCTTATTTATAGCTTTATTACAACCAATCAATGGAGCGATCAAGGGGGTAATTAGGAATTAAATAGAAGCTGACTTATGGCCTAATAATCAGTAGCTAACTTATATCCTAATCACTAGCTAATCAGCATAATTACAGTTGAGCAAGTGCTAATAGTGTAACATATTGCTAATTTTCTAGCACCCTCTTAAGGCACCCTGCCTTCAGGCAGTGGGTCTTAGGGTTTGACTAGGGCTCAGCCAGGAGTTGAACGGTGGAGTTGGCATGGTCTGAGATACCTATGGTGTCTTAGCTGTTTTGTCTGAGATTTTGTTATGAAATCTGTTTTTAGTCTCTGGTGGTTTTAAACAGAAATATTAAGTATGGTTGTGTGGCTTTTTTGACCAACACGGGATATTGAAATTGTTAAATTAGGCTACGGTACTATACGTGAATTTAAAGTTGCTTGCACGTTCCTCCATTCTGTTGTAATATCAACTGATGCTTTCCATGTAGGAGGTGTGCTTCATTTGTTAAAAAATATTATTATAATACAATTATGTGTCTGGTTTTTCAGGTTGCATGCAACTCAAAGTCCTCATTCCTTGCTGCTGCAGATGATAGTGGTGAGGTGAAGGTATGCGTCATATTCAATCATCTCTTGCTTTGTAACTTTCTGTTCTGTAATATCTTATTTATCAGCTTTCATGAATATATCCTTTCCACTTTTAATGCATTAGAGATATAAAAGCCATTTATGAGCTTGCTCCTTTTTAGCTTAAGCTTTTGGGATAATTGGTCCTTCGTATGGTATTAGAGTCTCCATAGTTATCAAATGCGGATTGCGGCATGATGCGGCCAACCCTCAAAACCGCTATAGCATTATTGCGGGTTGCGGAAATAGCGGAAAAAATATATATATTAAAAAAAAAATTATATATATATATATATATATATATATATATATATATATATATGTAACAATAAATTATTAAAAAAATAATAACACCTAAAAAAATACAAATAATACTTTACTGTTTTACCTTAGTTTTAATGATGCATTCTTTTTTTTTTTGGGGTACAAAAATAGTTTTACCCTCTGTTACTGTAACCAGGTTACATGGTTATCGTGACTTGTGAATCACTTTTCTGACAAATGTACTTTTCTTTTCTTTGAATGAAGATAGAACAGAATCTCTTTGGGTCTGTTTGATTGTGTTTTGGTTTTTTTGTTTTTAAAACTGTTTTGTAGAATAATTATGAAAACAGTTGTTTTCTATGTTTTTTTTTGTTTTGAAAGTTAAAAACTAAGACAGAAAACAAAAATAACTCAGACATGTTCTCTAAATTTGATTCTAAAAACAAAAAAAAAGTTACAGTTTTTAATTTTTTTTTTACAAAACAGGCCTTAGCAAACGAGTTTTTTTATTTTTTTGTTCTGAAAACTAAAAAACTGTTTTTTAGTTCAGTAATCAATCATAGCCTTTCTTTCTCACTTTCTCTCTTTTTCTTTTTCATCCGTTCTCTCTCACAGTTTCTCTTTTTCTCCTTCATCTATTCTCTCTCTCTCTCTATTACTATTTTATCACTTTTTCTCCGTTATCTGCTCTCTCTCTTTCTCTCTCTTTCTCTCACTCAAAGCTTTGCTTCTTCGTTCATGGCTTCCGCATTGAACTTCAATACTATAAGAGAGAAGTAGAGAAGGGAAGAAACGAGCGGGATAAAGAGAGCATGAGAGGCAGAAGAGACACACACAACAGAGAGGCAGAAAGGAAGAGTGGGTTAGGGTTAAAACCATAAAAAGGAACTTTTGCGGCGAGATTTGGCCGCAAATGTGGCCGCAACGACCGCTATTGCGATCTGGTGCGGCGTGGCGAGAATGGTTGCGGCGAAGCTTCGCGAAGCTCAAATGGCGTGGCTTTTGACTACTATGAGAGTCTCTATGACTAAATGGTTGAGTTCAATCCTTACTGGTCCATTCTTCATAAAATAAAGTTAAATTTCAGTAGAAGATAAAGCTAGATATGTGCATTGTCCACACTTTGAGCCCAAATGGCTCTTAAATATGTGCATGAAATGGTTGGTTAGAGACTTTGAGATATAAAGTGATAGGAACTGGACCAGAATAACAAGAAAAATAGGATAGAAATAGCTAGTTATCTCCTACTATGATCCGATATATGAGTAATATCAAGATCAACGGAGTCTCTGATGCGCAAAACAGAAGAAAATACACTGATAGAAAGAAAGAAAAATATGCAGATAATCCTGGCAGTTTGAGAGTGCCTGGTCTCTCCTCTATTTCCTCACTCACTTCTTTCCTGCCTTTTTCTCCTTTTTGTCCTTGTTTCCCCTAACAGATTGTCTTTTTTCCCTCCCACTACATTGCTACGTGTGTAGGTGGTTGCTTGGAGTCACCTTTTTTCCTCTGCTCATATGGGGTGTTGATTACATGCTTCTCCTTCCTTTCCTTCTATTTCCATGGTCCATCTTGGCAATAGTAGGTGTGCTAACATAAAGTCATTCATGAGCCTTCTCCAAATACCTTAAGCTGTAGGGGTAATTAGTCCTTGATATTATAATTGGTCCTCCTAATATCTTATACTTGCTGATATGATATAAACCTTAAGCTTTCCTAGATCATTACTTTGATTGCTGGGGTGGTGACTTTCCTTTGGACATCATAAATTTCTTGGATGCATCTCATTATTTCCTTTGGTGACATTAACGAAGTTTTCTAACTGCCTTGTAATATTGATCTATTCTCTCTAAGAAACCATAAGGCCGTATTGTATTCTAACAGCTTCAATACATGCCACAAAATATGGAAACATACAGATTTTGTAATTTATGATTTAAAAACTGACTTGTGCCTTTTCCTGTGTAATGTGATATATTATTCATTGTTTTGAATGAACTTGTAATTTTCCCATTTCTTTTAATTTTAGAAAAGCCAAGTTAATATAAGTATCCTACATTTTCATTTTCTTCGTTTTTGATTGAAAATTTCTTTGACAGATAATTGACATTCACCAGCAATGCCTGTATAAAACCCTACGATCTGGTCATACAAGTGTATCCTTCATACTTTTTAGCCTTGCTTCACTACTTGGCTGCTAATTATGTAGATCAGGAGTTTCATGTCAGCCACTAATATTTCATATTTCATCCTTTCACCTTTTTTTTAAAAAAAATTTCCCCTCCTATTATTATGTTATTCTATAATTAATATTTGATTTGATGTCTGGATATTTTTTTTTCACCTTGACCTTATGTTGTAGATTTGTAGCACTGTGCAGTTCCTTCCTTGGAGATCTTGGGAAGGTAGTTAAATATTGTCATGCTTATTTTTCCCATATGAATCTCTCTCTCTCTTTCCCCTTTCCCCTCATAGTACAATTTAGGGTTTTCAATGACTATGATTTGACTGTTATGTCTGGAGTAGACTTGTGTAAGTCATCTTTGCAACTTCCCATTGTGTTGGAATACCCATTGTCCTATTGGAAAGAGACAGAAAATTTTATATCAAACAGTACATACCAACTAACCCTGCAGAAGGAAATTGTTTGGAAAGGGGGGGGGGGGGTCACTTGGTCGCAACTCATGACAGTACTTGAGGCGTTGGTCTCATAAAAATGCATGTGTGGTGACCTCGGTCAAAGACCAAAAAACTCTACATACTAATGCTTTCGCTCTATTATGTGCATGAGCCATTAAACTGCTTGACAATAGTACATGAGCATGCTCTAGTGCTATAATTACCAGTTGTTTCTAAATTGGAATTCGTAGGAAGTACAGTGAAAAGTCTATTCAAGCCTAATGGCTGTTATAAATGTGTGCATACACATATTGAGTGATATGTTTAGCAAACTAAGATACAAATGTCATTAAAAAAACTTTAAATGAAGAAAGAAACTGGCATAGATGTTACTGTGAGACCCACACAAGATTAAGGGTACCGTAGAATGCATTACAAGGGATCTTGTTATCCTACCTAATGCTGAGTCAGCTAGTAACCGGTTGGCCAGGAATATTCTAGAATGGGTCAACAGAATTCACTTGGGGGCAAGAAAGGCTGGCAGAGGTGGTTAAGTAGAGGGAGGAAGATCTTGAAGGAATTATCTAGAGTCTTGGCTGGAACTTGGGTTGGGAGAGTGTAGAGCCTCTCCAATTGCTCTATGAAGCTGCTTTCCATTTTCTGTTTCTTGTAATTTCTCTGACACTGTTCTACTAGTCAAGTCTTGTATCTCTTTTCTTAGATCCATGTACTGTTGAGACCATTTTCAGGAATACGAATATCAATTTCTTCATCTATTTCCCTTATTTTGTGTTTTGTAAATTACTGTTACTGGGGGGTCTTTTTCATACTGCAACATTTTTTTGTTGATTGTAGAATAGAAATCTTATGAGGCTTTCTGTATTTAAACAGAGGCCATCTCACATAAATTGAAATGCCCATGTTATAACCATTGATTGTAGCAAACTGACTATAACACCTGGCTTTGTTATTGCTTCTGTCATTGTCGCAGGTTATTGTATTATAATGTCAATGAAGAACACAAAATAATCATTCACTTCTAAGCAGAGAAAGTAAAGTACTAATAATGATTACAAAAAAAAAAGTAAAGTACTAATAATTCCTGAGTTAGGTTGATTTTCATGTTTCTATTGAGACATGGCCAGTTTATTTTAAAAAATATCACATGTAGACATCTTTTTTGAGTTGATTTGGATTTCTGTTGTAAATGTTTTTAATTTGCTGATAATAGTTTAAGTTTGTGTATTGTGTCACCTCAAACTTATTTGTGCACTTAATAATAGTATAATACACGTGCATACACAAGAGATGTAAGCCACTCGTGATTAAAAGATTTCGAAAATAATATTTAGGGAAGTTCTACCAATATACATATAGACCTAATAATTATGAGTTGGATGTATTAACCAAAAGAATTTGTAAGAGCATAAGTTTCTATTTATAAACAAATTTTGGAAAAAAAATTGGTTAAGGTTTTAAAGTTACTGCCCTATGCATTTGTATAAGTTTCATGCTAGTCCTCTACGAACTTGCTTCCATATTTATAGAAAGTTGTCTCCTAATTTTTTTTCTTTCCCAGTAATTAGTGGAGGTCTTGATTCAACGCTTGTGTTGTGGGACTTCTCCAAAGGGCGCCCACACAAATTAGCAGATTTTGGTATATTTTTTTCTGAAATCTCTGACTTTATTGAGTTTTGCATGAGATGATTTGAATTATCTAAATTAGAGCCTTTCATTTTTGTCATTTGACATTGGCAATAATGACATAAGTCCTCACGTCTCTACTTATTTTGTTGAGCGCATGTAGCAAAAGAAATCTTCTAGTATAATGTTTGTTTTTAAATCTTTTCAAAGGCTTTTTCAACCATAGTTATGCTTGACCATGATTTTCCAGCAGATAAAGATGAGAGCTTATGCCATTTGTAAATATTTTACCAATGTAGTAAAACATGAAAATGCTGGTTGGTGACTACTGACTAGTGACCGTAGAGAAGTCACAACCAGTTAGGATTTTGAAGAAACAAAAAAAGTTCTCTCTGAAGTCTGGAAATTTCGTATGTATACTAGAGGCATACTTGATTGTACATAGATAATAACTGAACTAGTTGCTGGTACTTAATGCAATGTACATTAATGATCCTTTGCTAATTTTGTTTTCATAGTTGAATTTTAGATGATGGCTTTTTCTTTTCTTTACTTGTGCATACATACATATACATACATACACTTAAAAATTATAAGAGTAATATATAATAAAGATAAAATGATGGAAAAATAATATTCAAAAGAATGGAATGAAAAACTACTCAAGTCACTATTGCTGTCCTTTCTTCACTGCAGGTATATTTGATATGAGTAGTAACATTGCTGGCCAGTGTCTCAATCCTGCTTTTATCCATACAATAGCTGTTCCAGAAGTTGACATGCTAGATAAATTAGACAAGATATGTGCCGTTGCAAGGGGTGATGGAGTAATTAATGTGATTAATATTGAATCAGAAATTGCTGCTATAAGGTCTAAAGGATCTTCGAATTCGCGAAAAGGATCACAATCAAGATCAAAAGATGGTAGTTCAACTAGCAATGCGGATGCAGATCAAAATGGAAAAAGGAGATTGCATTTGGATTACACTTTGGGTGGCCATACTTCAGCTGTTTCTGGCCTGTAAGTCAATTCCTTATCTGCCACTTAGTAACTGTTAGACGAAATTCACTTCTCCCCTAACTCATATGGTAAAACAGGGCATTTTCATTGTTTGGGGAAAGGGGTAAATTCATTATATCCGGAGGAAATGATAAGTCAGTGAAGCTGTGGAATTGGTCCAGTTATCCTGATGCTGGATTAAGTGACGCCAACAATGATATCCTACATTTGAACATCAGTGTACCCCAAAAGGTTAGTTTTGTTTTACAATTTCATTGGAACTTTTGGATGTTGGTTACTTGTTCTGCTTCTTTCAAGTATATCTATTATGCATTTATTTATACACTTTATTTGGCAGGTCAATTGGCTGTGTAGCACCCCAGCTGATACAGACAACCTTGTTGTGTGTGACACATCTAATGTAGTAAAGGTCTATTCTATAACATAGTTTAAAGCTGGATGACTGAGGTTCTAGGAATGAGTATTCCTGGAAAGCAATCCCAAGCAAGAATGATATTTTGTATTTATGTTGCACTTACTCTGAAGATCATGCTCCCTGACAGGAAAGAGCCTAAAGACACAGGTTTTAGTATAGGTATACGTATACCTGCTCAGATTCTTGCTTTGGGGTTTTCTCACTGATTCAATGACCTATACTTGCTCATTCACATGGTTTGATTCATGCCATGTTTACTTGTTCTTTTTCAATCTTTTATGTTATTTTGTTCACCTCTGTTTCATATCTCCCTTGTTTTGTTGAGGCTAGTTTTCGGAGGTCAAAACTATTTATTTGTAAATGTTTAATGTCTCTGTTAGAAGTAAAGCTTCTTCTTTTTTCTTCTCTTTCTTGTCCTCATTGTGCAAATTCATTTGTGTTTGTATATATGTTTAAGTTTATCATATTCGAATAATTGTTAAAGTGGAATATGTACTGAAAATGAACCCTGATATTTTCATATTATTTTAGTGATGTAAGATTTACTCCATTGTAATATATGTGTATTGCGATTGATCCAATTTCTGCTGAAGAAAGCCGTTATGCATGTGGATCCTACAAATGACTAAATTCATGTGTAGAAAAGCATTTTATGTCACGGGAAATGATGAGCCAATATCGTTTCTGGTTTCCTTAATTTGCAGGAGAAATGGTGTATTCGATGTGTAAATAGCATGATCTGACGTTCGAGCAACATAGAATAGATCATATTTATTGCTAGCAACAAACAAACCAATTGATGTACAGCTTTGAGATTGAAAAGTAAGTATCATTTTCAGTTGAGTCCTGTAGCTAGGATATTTAATAATGTAATTATCCGTGAACTCAGCTTGGATAAAATTAAAGCCAAAACAAGTAATTCACAATGAATTACGAAAATGATCGTTTATCTAAGTTCTCTAAAATTAAAATATTAGACATTACTATAAAATTGCCATATTCAATTATTATTGCAATATGATCACTTTGAGAAACAAAAACAGGTTTATTTATAAAAGAGGAATGTACTATCACATGATGCGCCAAAAGGATGGCATGAATCATATATTTATAAAGTCAGAAGGAAGTTAATTTTACTATTTCCTTTTTCTTATAATTATTTTTTGATTTTTAAATCAAAATTAAATTAATATTATAAAATAATATTAAATAAGAGTCGTTAATTTAATTTTGATTTAATGATAACGAATTAATTATAAGAGATAATAAGGGGGGAAATTGTAAATATGATTTGTTATATATATAAAGTGTTCATTTTTTTATCGTCAATCTAGATAAATTATCTATATTGAGTCCAAAATGACGTCATTTTGAGGTGGAATTCAAGGGTTTTTTTTGTTGTAAATATAGTTTATTTCAGGATTATAATAATCTTTCTCATTTTAATTTTTTAATTTTTCAACCCAAAACAACGTCGTTTGGGAGTGAATGTATTAATATCATCCACTTGGAGAAGCTTTAATTAAAATAAGTTGTTCTTTAAGCTTTACTCATTTAACAAATAGCTCGTGATTTTTGTTTTTGTAATTTAGCTTGGTAAATTTTCGATATATGATAAACGGCTCTTTTGGTTTCAATTTTAATAATTAATTCGCTTAAACTTTCAATACATGAAAAATAAGTGACATAGTAGTTAATTGTTAAAATTGAAAGTTTAAGTAGTTTAACTGCTAAAATTGAAGTCACTTAGGAGTTAGGACTATTTGTCAAAAGATCATAGTTTAAGCTAATTTCAATTCCAACATTTTTTTACTAAAGCAATATATAATTTTTAAAATTGAGCTATTTTCTGCGAGGAGTTGCTGGTTAAAGATGTACCCTGCGCAACTGTCAACTGAAGCCTTTCTTACACTTCCCGCAATAAATTGAAGTATTGTTCCCTTCACCAAAAACAACAGACGTTGCTGATCATCTCTCTCTGTCTCTGCTGATGACTTTGTGTGCCACTGAAATTATGACACCAACCCCCCAACCTTCAAAAAACAACCCACCACCACCACCACCACCCTGCACACCCTTTTCACCCTTAATACTATTACAAAATTGCTTTCTCCATCCTCCCAATGGGTTTATGCTCTTTCATATAAAACCCATATGAACATAGATTGAGAAGCAAAGGGTCAGAGAGATATACTGACATTTTGGCCCTTGGATAGAAGGTGGTGCAAAACCAAAAATGATGCACTCTGGTGTTCCCCTCTGCAACACATGTGGGGAACAAGTGGGCCTTAATGATAATGGGGAGGTGTTTGTGGCTTGTCTCCAGTGCAATTTCCCAATTTGCAAGGCTTGTTTTGAGCATGAAATCAATGAGGACCATAGGGTCTGCTTGAGATGTGGCTCTCCCTATGAAGGTAACCCTTTATTGTGTACATTATATTTCCACGTAAAAATTTATAATTTTTGTCTGTTTAATATGTAGATTTGTAACTCGTTTGTTTTATACTCCTCATTTAAATCTTCATGCTATGGTTATTTGAGACTGATGATCTTAGGAGGCTAATTACACTCTTGCATTTAAAGAGTCATTCAGCAAAGTAATAGACTACTAGTTTAATTTGTTAGAGGGAGGCAAAGAAAATCTTAACACTGTTTAGTTTATCTGTTCATCCTTTTAAAGAACTGTTTTTTTCCTTTATTCTTTTTTCATTCACTTCAGTAAAAATATTTCAAAAAGTGGCTGCTTTACTCGTTCAATACATGTCTTTCTTGGTGAAATATCCTAAGGCATGTTTCCTTTTATATATTTCATAGAGAGAACAAAGGATGAAGATGATGATGATATGAAGGTTCACGAAAATCAATCCACACTGGCTTCCCAGCTCAGTAACTCTCAGGTAATGAATTACCAGCAATTATTAGATGTACAAGTACTACATAGGAACAACAATAATTTTGAGTGAAAACAGGAAATCTGAAGTTATTATCTGTATTATTTTGGAATACTTTGCACTTACAACCATACGTTGAATTTTGTAGGATGTTGGACTCCATGCTAGACATGTCAGTACAGTGTCCACAGTTGATAGTGGTAAATATTTGAGGAAGAATTCGGATCACACATTTTCTAGTACAATTTCCTTAGAAGTAATCATTGATCATCACAATATGGTTTTTCTTGTAGAATTAAATGATGAATCTGGGAATCCAATCTGGAAAAATAGAGTGGAAAGCTGGAAGGGGAAGGATAAAAAGAACAAGAAGAAAAAGGCTGAACCTAAGGCTGAAAATGAGGCCTCAATTCCACCCGAGCAGCAGATGGAAGAAATACAGTGAGTTCAATGAGAAATTAAATAAATTTCAAAAGTGGACAATAAAATGTATGTAATGTATGTTAAAATAGCAGTTTTTCGAGTTACCAATAATTTTCAAACCTTAACTAGGTTAGCATTAAGAGAAGTTATAGAATAAATATGCCCCTTGTGGATAGCTCAAGGGGTAGATTGAGGTGAGGTTGAGGTAGAGCTATTTGATTTGATGCATGGTATCTGACACAAAAACAAAAGATTGATTAATTTACAAATCCTGTGACAATTCTTACATTTTCCAAGGTGATACTGTCTGGTAGTTATAAGCTGAAATCTGAATATAAACATTTCATCCTCCTAACGAGGGATGAAGAATCAATCAAAGACAAATTTTTACTATTTCAACTATCACAAGCTGATGGCCCGAGATCACTTTAACCTTAACTTTGGTCTTTATGTGCACTGAAAATGTATGTTTACTAATTATTTAATCAAAAATATATGATTTACTTTTATTAATTGTTGATTGTTGATTGTTCATTGAATTGGTATAAACAATCTGGTTGTACCAGCAAGACAATCGATTTGATTCTGAATATAGTTCATGCATTTATGACCTCTGTTGGTAATGCTCATTGATCTTAAATATGTGATGAAATTTTTTAACATACATTTATTTAATAATTCACATGGTGATATGTTTTGCAGGCCCACAGAGGCTCAGGCTGCTGCTGAGCCACTTTCAGTAATTGTTCCAATATCAAAAACCAAACTTGCACCATACAGAACTGTGATAATCATCCGACTGATAATCTTGGGTTTTTTCTTCCATTATCGAGTTACAAATCCAGTTGATAGTGCTTTTGGTCTGTGGTTGACTTCTATCATCTGTGAGATCTGGTTTGCATTTTCCTGGGTGTTAGATCAGTTCCCCAAATGGTGTCCCGTCAATAGGCAAACTTTTATTGAGAACCTGTCCGCAAGGTAAATGCACAAAGTTGTAAAATATTTAGATGCCTCGTGCCTTGTGCTTTAAGGATGATTTGAACTCAAAAATCATATTGTAGAACAGGTATGGTTCAGTTTCTGTTTCTTTCCCTGTTGGGACTTGTCAAAGGTAATCTATAAATATGAAATAATGCATAATATATATTAAGAGTTTAATTTTGATCTACTGTCAAGGTAAAAAAGTTTTACCGTATGATACAATCATGTTTTTTCATACCATTGAAGGATTTTGACTAGTGTAACAGTTACCTAACAAGTCAAACACTTTAGTGATATTGCAATATATGATTAGAACATAGTGGATGCTTTACTGTGAATCGAAATTAAGTCCATATAGTGAAGTAATATTTAAATTAAATGTGAGAGTTGATACTGAGCCTGTACTTTGGATGCTGATGCTCATTTCTATAATGCCATGCCAGGTTTGAAAGAGAGGGTGAACCCTCTGGGCTTGCTGCTGTTGATTTCTTTGTCAGTACAGTTGATCCTTTGAAAGAACCACCATTGATCACAGCGAATACAGTGCTTTCTATCCTTGCGGTTGACTACCCAGTGGATAAAGTATCCTGTTATGTGTCAGATGATGGAGCTGCAATGCTCACATTTGAATCTCTTGTGGAGACAGCTGACTTTGCAAGGAAGTGGGTGCCGTTTTGCAAAAAGTATTCAATTGAACCAAGAGCACCTGAGTTTTACTTCTCTCAGAAGATTGACTACCTGAAGGACAAAGTGCAACCTTCTTTTGTGAAGGAACGTAGAGCAATGAAGGTAAGCATCTAAAGCTTCCTCTACAAAAATAAAAAATAAAAAATTCCACATCAAGAGCACATTTATCCCAAAATAGTTGGATTCAGATGAACCCAAATAAAAAATATGAAAAGATTCAGGAAAAAATAAGAGAAGATAAAGTTTTTTTTAAAAAATATATAAATGACACTAGAAATTAAAAAAGAAATAAACAATTAAAAAGAAAAGAAAAGAAAGTAAAAATGAATAAGAGAAAAATACAAAAGAGAAAAATGAAAAAAGAAATTACAATAAATAAATAAACAAGAGAAGAAAAATAGAAAGGAAAAAAGAGAAATAAAAGAAAAGAAGAGAAAAAAGGAGAAGTAAATAAAGAAATACAGGGAAATATAGGGGAACATGACTAAAAAGGACTATTTGGAATATAGGAAAAAAAACGCACAGCAAAAAAACGAGTCTAACCCTCCACAACGTTAATAGCTATTCTCCAATCCATTCTAAGACACATCGTTCGCCAATCTATATCTCATTTCATTAAGACTTGTTTTACTACCTTCCTCCAAGTAAGTTTAAGACCTCCGCTTCCTCTCTTTATGTCAAACTCTTGGTAATAAACTTTTGTCTTACAAGAGCATCTAGGGTCTTCGCATTATGTGTTTAAACCACCTCAATCTATATTCTCTATCTTTTCAATCACTCATGCTATTCCTACCTTTCATCGAATATCTTCATTTCTTATCTTATCCATTCTTGGATTTCAAAAAAATAACACCTTTGATATTTAAATATATCTGATCTACTATATTCACCACTTTATGGGTGTGCGTGACAACCTTCCCGGAATCAATTTTTTTTTTAATTTCTGTTCCCGGGAATAGAAATGGATAGGAAACTCATTTGGTAAAATCGGTTTATTTTTTTGTTCCCGGGATGAACCGGTTTATTTTTTGTGTTGGGGAACAGAAAAAAGAATCAAAAAATTTCTGCTTTTTTGATTCTGGGCACAGAATGAGAAACACTTATCTTTCTCAATTACTCTTCACCACTACCATCACCACCACTGGTACCACCATCCCGACACGACCACCGCTACCATCACCACCACCACCACCTCCACGTCACCACCACTGTCATTACCACCACCGCCACCACCATTATCACCACCACCATCATCGTAGTCATTGCCATTACCACCACCACCACCACCACGCTATCACTATTACCGTCATCGCCGCTGCCGCAACCACCGCCACCATCACCACCATGTCATCTCCATCACCATCGTCGTAGACAGTATTGTTACCTTACCACCACCATCACCACTATCATTACCACCACCGCCGCCGCCACCACTACCATTAACATGCCACTGCCACCGCCACCACTACACCACCGCCACCGCCACCACCATGTCATCATCATCACCATCACCATCGTCGCCGTCACCACCACCACCACCACTACCGTCGCCACTGCCACTATGCCACCATTACCACCACTGCCATTATCACGTTATTGCCACCACCACCATGTCGTCACCATCACCACCACTACTGCCACCACCATCGCCACCATTATCACTACCATCGTTGCGGCCACTGCTGTCACCACCACCATCACCATCATCGCCATCACCACTACTATCACCGCCACCATCACCATTACCATCGCCGTAGCTACTACCGTCACCACCACCACACCACTACCACCACCATTACCACCGTCGCTGCCGCTGCTACCATGCCATCACCACTATTGCCACCGCCGCCACCACTATTGCCACCACCATGCCATCACCTCCACCACCACCACCGCCATGACACCACCGCTACCGCCACCACCACCACCACCACCACAACGCCACTACTACAACCGCCGCCGCCGCCACACCATATGAAAAGGAAAGTGATGATCCGAAAAAAATTTATGCTTAATAGGAATAATTTTATATTTTATTATTTGTTGTGTTATCAAATGCAATTCTCATTCTAGGAATAAAAATAAAACATACACATTTTTTTTTCTCAAAAATTGTTCCAAGGCACAGAAATAGAAAAGAATTGTTTCTTTTCAGAAACAGTGCCAGGGAACAGAATGGTTGCCATGCACACCCTATTTTTCCAAATTGAGTATCTTAGAGCAACCTTTTCATGATAACCTTTCAATTCTGTCACAGAGAGACTATGAAGAGTATAAAGTACGAGTTAATGCCTTGGTGTCTAAGGCTCAGAAAACTCCTGAAGAAGGATGGAGTATGCAAGATGGAACACCTTGGCCAGGAAATAACTCACGTGATCACCCAGGCATGATTCAGGTATATCCATTACTTCTGTATGTAGTCAACTCTCAATGTTGATAATGATAGGCATAAAGAATACTGTATAAAGTACTTTGAGTGGTTCTGTGTGGAAATTTTTTTATTTATTTTTTTAAACTGGAAAACTTTTATGTTCATAAGATTGACTAGTTCTTTTTACAATCATTGGTACAAGTGCAAGTTATACTTTTATATACTTTTCATATGCTGCCTCACAATTTAGCAAAATCTGTATTTTCAAGCAAAATTTCTGTTCACCATTTCCAGGTTTTCCTCGGACACACCGGTGCCCGTGACATAGAGGGAAATGAACTTCCAAGGCTGGTTTATGTTTCCAGAGAGAAAAGACCAGGTTACCAACATCACAAGAAAGCTGGTGCTGAAAATGCGCTGGTACGTATAGACACCTCAATAATATTTCAAATAAGGTCATTAAGATATACTGCTTGATATTTGTATGGATTTTTGCAGGTGAGGGTGTCAGCAGTTCTCACAAATGCCCCTTTCATTCTCAATCTTGACTGTGATCATTATGTTAACAACAGCAAGGCTGTTCGTGAAGCAATGTGTTTTCTCATGGATCCACAAGTTGGTAGAGATGTGTGTTATGTGCAGTTCCCCCAAAGATTTGATGGTATTGATCGTAGTGATCGATATGCCAATCGTAACACAGTTTTCTTTGATGTAAGTTTATAGTAAAGCAAAGAGTTTTACCACTTATATACTCAACAGAAAATGGTCATCTTATCTCCTTATGTGGTAGAAAATTTAACTTATCAAACAAGTATTTGCAGAAATGCTCTTCCTAGTCACGAGCCGAAAAGGCTTTGCTTTTCTCTGTTTTGTGATCAAGAGTCCAATTTCTTTGCATTTCATCTGTTTCTATGTCAAGATGTATTAATATTGTTAACACAATATTAATAAAGTGATTTATGTATATTCACCAATATATATATATATATATATATATATATATATATATATATATATATATATATATATATATTGCATGCATGCAATGCAGCAACTATTTAACAACCTTGAAATTAAAATCATGGTCACAACTCTTACAGTAGTTTCCAATCCTCATCCCTATTTAATGGTCTTTTAATATTCATTTCAGGTTAACATGAAAGGACTTGATGGCATTCAAGGACCTGTATATGTGGGGACTGGATGTGTTTTCAATCGACAAGCACTTTATGGCTATAGCCCACCTTCTATGCCCAATTTACCAAGATCTTCATCATGCTGTTGCTGCCCCTCAAAGAAGTCCACCAAAGATGTCTCGCAGGTTTATAGAGATGCAAAGAGGGAAGAACTTGATGCAGCCATTTATAATCTAAGGGAGATTGACAGTAAGCCCATTTAATGTTGTCAATCAGTTTTAGAGAATCATACAGCAGAATCTTCTAAGTGTAATATTCTTCTGGTTTCTTTTCTTCTTGTAGATTACGATGAGCATGAGAGGTCAATGTTGATTTCACAAATGAGCTTTGAAAAAACTTTTGGCTTGTCTACTGTTTTCATTGAATCTACACTACTGGAGAACGGAGGGGCGCCTGAATCTGCAGATCCCTCGATGCTGATCAAGGAGGCCATTCATGTAATTAGCTGTGGATATGAAGAGAAGACTGATTGGGGAAAAGAGGTTTGACTTAAATGTTAATGTTCTTGTATAAAGTGCATCTTCATATTGTTAGTTTCCTTTTCTCTTTTCCAGTGATATTTTCGTTACCATACCTCTACCAATTAAAATTCCATTCAACCTAGACGCATCATTTTTCACTTAGTTAATCTATTGTTTCTTTATTGATTAATTAATTAAAATATCTTCTTGTTTTTTCCAGATTGGTTGGATTTATGGTTCAGTCACTGAGGATATCTTAACCGGTTTCAAGATGCAGTGCCGAGGATGGAGGTCAATTTACTGCATGCCCTTGAGGCCTGCATTCAAAGGGTCAGCACCTATCAACCTGTCTGATAGGTTGCACCAAGTCCTTCGATGGGCACTTGGATCAGTTGAAATTTTCCTAAGTAGACACTGCCCCCTCTGGTATGGATTCGCAGGAGGCCGTCTCAAATGGTTGCAGAGAATGGCTTATATAAACACCATTGTCTACCCATTTACATCCCTTCCTCTTGTTGCTTATTGTACTTTGCCAGCAATTTGCCTTCTCACAGGAAAATTTATCATTCCAACGGTAATTTCTTCATGTGTCAATTTAACCACTTACATAAATAAGAGAGAGAGAAATGTTATTAATCTAGTTTAATTTCCATGCATTACCCGCCAATTTTCCTATGAAACATAAATGATTTTTAACCATTCAACCAAAGAAAACTATTTAGAGCAACAGATCAGTATATAACAGTTTATACTAGTGCCTTACATCATGTTGTTCTTTACAATTTGATACAGCTTTCCAACCTTGCAAGTGTTCTCTTTCTTGGACTTTTCCTCTCCATCATAGTGACCAGTGTGCTTGAGCTGCGTTGGAGTGGTGTTAGCATTGAAGATTTGTGGCGTAATGAGCAGTTCTGGGTGATTGGAGGTGTTTCAGCCCATCTATTTGCTGTCTTCCAAGGATTTCTTAAGATGTTGGCTGGTGTTGATACCAACTTTACTGTCACTGCCAAGGCTGCTGAGGACAGCGAGTTTGGTGAACTTTATATTATCAAGTGGACCACTCTCTTGATTCCTCCAACAACACTTATCATAGTTAACATTGTTGGTGTTGTTGCTGGATTTTCTGATGCACTTAATGGAGGATATGAGTCTTGGGGACCACTCTTTGGTAAGGTGTTCTTTGCCTTCTGGGTGATTTTTCATCTCTATCCATTCCTCAAGGGTCTCATGGGACGCCAAAACCGCACCCCAACCATTGTTGTTCTGTGGTCAGTGTTGCTGGCCTCTATCTTCTCTCTTATTTGGGTCAAAATAAACCCATTTGTGAGCAAAGTAGACAGTTCAACCCTCTCTGCGACCTGCGTTTCTATAGATTGTTAAGTCACTACAAGCATGCTTACCAAGCCTTTTTGAAAATATGTAAAAAAGATAGATATATGGGATAATGATTTGATCCGCAACTTGTGCAAGCCATAAGATTAGTTCTTCGTTGAACTGTGCACCCATTTTGTACTAAGATTGGAAAAAATCTGTAAGCTTTGGAAAAATTTCCTGTTTACTAAAGGGATAAAGCATTGGCATAATTACATCAATGTGAAAAACAGTGATTTTTCCTGTCCATTAAGAAATTAAAATGCACTTAGTTGTCATATTTTTGATACTAAGTTTATTCAAAAGTGTAGTGCTGATTACAAAACAGTCACAGCAAAAACGAGAAATTCAATTGTAGTTTAAGAGCAATATTTTTATTGGTTGGGGTTTAATTTTAAATTTAATTAAACGACAAATAAAGTTACGCAAGCAGAATGTTATCCTTTTATTAAAGGGAAAATGTTTTTGCAGTTACTGCAGATAAGTTATATGTATTTATTTTCAAAGCGACGTTGTTTTTGTATTTAAATCTTGAAAAATTATAAATATAAAGACTATTATAACTCTGAAATAAATTAAAATTACAAAAACACCATGATTTCCGTCCCAAAACGACATCGTATTAGACTTACTGTAGATAACTTATTTGGAGTAACTCCAAGAAAAAGTGAATCCTTTATTAAATTGAATACAATACTCTTTACGTACCGTGCATAAAAACTTATATTCAAATTACATAAAAATCTCTCCTACCAACTGTGTATGGTTGTGTATTGAGAAAAGATTCAAGAATATGAGACAAATATATTATTCCAGCTAAATTGGAAGTGAAGGCCTAGCAAAAAGACTATACGTTTATTTACAAAATAAAATAAAATAAAAGACTATACGTTTCAAATAAATAAATTTTTTATTAACGTGCGCCCTTACACTATATATTAAGGACAAAATAATATTTAATATACTTTATTAAATAATATTTAATATTTGGAAGAGCTACCCAAGAATGGATCTTGAACTGAATTAAAACTTTTCATATATTAAATATTTATTCCATTTATTCATAGTGAATCTAGTATCCTTATTCGTATCTTTATTTATTCCATTTATACTTCATCCATCTCACTGATCTAGTCATCTGATATCACTCATGTTTTGTACAAACTATTTTATGGATAATCAAAATCATTTGGTGTAAATTATTATACCTATTTATTTAAATAAGAACTTTTCTTTGTAATTAGTCTATTATTTAGTTTGTTATTAGTTTGTTAATTCTGTTAGCTGAGTTGGCACTTGTAATAGTTAGATTAGTTACGTGTCCCTTTCTTCTCTTTACAATATATATAGGTTGATGTACAGAGACTCATTAGTTTTGTAAGGCTGGAGTATTTAACTTGTTGATGATGTGAATGACATGTTGGATACAATAGCACCATAATATCTTTGGAATATTCCCTTGAAAAAGAAGTTCCCTTGCTGTATTTAATATATGCTGATGTTTTCTCTCCACAACACTATTTTGTTGTGGAGACTTAACACATGAAGTCTGGTGCAAGATTCCCTTTTTAGCAAAGAAATCAGGACATTAAGAATTCAGAACCATTGTCACTTCGAAAGGTCTTAATAGTTACACCAAACTGGTTTTCTATAAGTGTGACAAAGTTATGGATATGAGTTTTAGTTTCTGAATTTAATTTCATCATGATGCCCCATGTAAAACGTGTATGATCATCAACAATGGTTAACATGTATTTGTGTCCATGAATGGAAGGAACAGAATATGGACCCCAAATATCAACATGGACTAAATCAAAGGCTTTATCAGAGACAATGACACTTGAAGTAAATGGTAACTTCCTTTGTTTAGCATAATGGCATATATCACAAGGATTGTCAACATTTCTACAGGAAATGAAAGGGAATTGAGTCATCATTGACTTTATTACAGAATAGGAACAATGGCCTAATCTTAAGTGCCACAAATCAATAGGACAAGGTTGAACAGAAACTGTATTGGTAAGGCTTTTATCTTGTGTTGATATTGTCTTCTAGTCATGAGCTTGAGTAAGGATGTACAATCCACCGTCTAGTTTAGCTGAACCAATTATCTCCATTGAAGGATGCTGCTGAATGATGCAGATGAGGGGCTGAAAAATGACACAACAATTAGTGTCTTGAGCTAGCTTGGTTACTGATATTAGTTTAACACTAAATTTCTCAACAAATAAGACATTTGACAGTGTGAGTGTTTGAGAAAGTACAACTGTCCCTGAGTAGTAAGAGTAAACCTGACTTCCATTGGGCAAGGAAATAGCTATTGGCTCAATCTTCTTTGGTTGGATTAAAATGCCAAAAGAGTGAGTAATGTGGTCAGTGGCTCCTGTGTCAAGGATCCAATGTACCATATTATTGTTACCTGAAAATGAATCTGAGTTCTCTGTATTAACTGTCTTAACTTGGGTTCCAACATTGAGTGCCTTGGTTTGTACAAGGTTGCTGACATGTGAGGGTGTCATTTGCTGCTGTTGCATAGGCTGGTGCTTCATGGATTGCTGAATCATTTCCAAAATTGCATGATATTGATCCTTAGTAAAATTCTCTTTGTTACCTTAAAAGCCATTTGATTATCATCAGCATACGGATGCACCACTTGATTATGATCAGCATAAAGATGCACCACTTGATTATGATCAGCATACAGATGTACTTCTTCAGGATTATCAGTGCTTGCAATATTTGCCTTGTGGACTCCTTTAACTCTGTATCCAGGAGGATACCCATGCTTCTCAAAGCATGTATCCACAGTATGGCTTGTCTTGCCACAACAAGTGCACAGCCGTGGAGTAAATGCTCTCCCACGTCCTCCATTGTAACCACGTCCTCTTCCTCGAGTGTAGAAACACCCACGTCCTGATTGTGGCTCTGTTGAATTGAAAAACACCTTGGAATTTCCATCTGTGACATTAGGCATCACATTGTTCAAATGCATCTGTCTTTCCTGCTGAGTCATTAAGGAAAACACACGGTTTATAGGAGGCAGTGGATCCATTAACATGATTTGGGACCTTACATGAGAAAATTGTTCATTAAGTCCCTTTAGGAATCTAATAGAATAGTCTCTATCTCTGATGCTTCTCACTTGAGAAGAAATTGAACAGCAAGGCTTAACACATTTACACGTAGGTGTTGGCTGTAAGGACTCCAACTCATCCCACAGGATCTTGAGTTGTGTATATAAATCTGAAATAGAATTCTCTCCTTGATGCAAACAGAAGATTTCATCATGCAAGTCAGAAATTCTAAAGATATCTGACTGAGAAAACCTTTCTTTAAGGTCTCTACATACATCAACATCTTGATCCATCCAGAGGATCGATTGTGAAATAGAATCAGTAATGGATCGATGCAACCATGAAAGAACCATGGTATTGCATCTCTCCCAAGAAGCGTGCCTTCTATCTTTCAGATTTGGAACAGAAATGGAACCATTGACGAATTGAAGCTTATTTTTGGAGATCAAGGCCATGGTCATGGCCGTAGCCCAACCATGGTAGTTCTTACTGTTCATGAGCGTAGATACTAACATAAGAGACGTATTTTCGTTCGGATGGTGGTAATAAGCACTAACTGGATCTGAGAAATTCTCTGATGCATGTGCTGCATTAGTGCTTGCAACTACATGCGTGGTGTCTGAAGCATCTTCTTCATCCACACATCGAACATCAACTTTCGGTGAGCTTTGATTTGTCGTGATCGTTTACCTCCAATTATCAGAAAAAGGAAAAACTCAAAGTGAATCTTGAAGGAGGAAAATAGCAACGAAGAAAGCACCAAAAAAATTGAAATCGGCAAAAATCAGAGCTCCAATTGAAGCTCTGATACCATATCAGAATGGAAGAATTGAAAAGTTTTCATTACTGAGAAAACTGAATTGCAAAACTAATGAGTCTATGTACATCAACCTATATGTATTGTAAAGAGAAGAAAAGGACACGTAACTAATCTAACTATTACAAGTGCCAGCTCAGCTAACAGAATTAACAAACTAATAACAAACTAAATAATAGACTAATTACAAAGAAAAGTTCTTATTTAAATTCTTTGGACTACTAATGGAAGGAGTTGACTATTTTGAGACTTTCTCTCCAGTTGCTAAGCTCACTTCAGTCAGATTATTGCTTTCAGTAGCTGTTGTCAAAGGCTGGTTCCTTGAACAAATAGACATTAACAATGCCTTCTTTCATGGTGACTTATCAGAAGAAATATAACTATTCCTCAAGGCATTGAATCTACTAAAGCAAATCAAGTTTGCAAATTGCATAATTTCATATATGGACTGAAGCAATTTGAAAACTTGATTTGCTTTAGTAGATTCAATGCCTTGAGGAATAGTTATATAGACTTCTTCTGATAAGTCACCATGAAGGAAGGCATTGTTAATGTCCATATGGACTGAAGCAATCTAGTCGCCAATGGAATGCAAGGTTGAGCTTGGAGCTTCACAATCTTGGTTTTGTCCAATCAAATGATGATTATTCTCTATTCACTAAGGCAGATGGTGACAAATTCACTTGCCTTTTGGTTTATGTAGATGATATGATTCTTGCTGGGAATTGTATAGTTCAGATCAATGTTGTCAAGCAACATTTAGATGCTTTATTTTGCATCAAAGACCTTGGTCCCTTACATTTCTTTCTTGGTATGGAAATTACTAGATCCAAGACTGATTTAATTTTAAACCAAAGAAAATATGTGTTGGAATTATTAGCTGAGAGTGGATTAATCAATGCTAAACCAACATCTACACCTATGGAGCCCTCTTTAAGACTACAACAGGATCAAGGAGAATTGTTTGATGATCCTGCCACTTACAGAAGGATGGTTGGTCTCTTGATGTATTTGACCAACACCAGACCAGACATTTGTTTTGCTGTGCAACAATTGAGCCAATTTGTAGCCAAACCAATGAAGGAGCACTATGTAGCTGCTATTCGAGTTCTAAGATATCTTAAAGGCTCTCCAGCAAAAGGTTTGTTCTTCTCTTCTCAAAGCCCATTAGTGTTATCTGGCTTTGCTGATGCGGATTGGGCTACATGCCCTGACACCCGAAAATCCACAACTGGTTTTTGTATATTCCTTGGTGATTCTCTCATTTCATGGAAGTCAAAGAAACAAAGCACGGTCTCACGATCATCTGCCGAGGCAGAATATCGTGCTCTAGCCACTACTACTTGTGAGGTCCAATGGCTTACTTACTTTCTGCATGACCTTCAAGTTCCAACCAACCTTTATTGTGACAATCAGGTTGCAATTTATCTGGCCCATAATCTTTCCTTTCATGAACGCAGCAAACATATAGAGTTAGATTGTCATGTCACCAGGGAGAAACTTGCATCTGGCTTGATTCATCTATTATCAGTTCCTATTCATCAGCAGCTTGCTGACATTTTTATAAAGGCACTTAATACAGCTTCCTTTCATGATTTTCTGTTCAAGTTGGGGTTGTATGATCTCCACCCACCAACTTTAGGGGGGGGGGTATTATACCCATTTATTTAAATAAGAACTTTTCTTTGTAATCAGTCTATTATTTAGTTTGTTATTAGTTTGTTAATTCTATTAGCTGAGCTGACACTTGTAATAGTTAGATTAGTTACGTGTCCCTTTCTTCTCTTTACAATATATATAGGTTGATGTACAGAGACTCATTAGTTTTGCAATTCAGTTTTTTCAGTAATGAAAACTTTTCAATTCTTCCATTCTAATATAAATACTCACCAAATAATATATCATGAATCATTGGCCTCAATCTATTTCCTGTTCCAGTCAAACTTATTAGGTCATTTCATATAATCAAAAATGATGAAAAATGATCACGTAATTTAATTTTAGTTGGTTATGGATGCTAAACATCGATAAAATGATGTCACATTATTATAGCAAATAACATTTTTAACTATCACTAACAAATTTTAATTGTTTTGAAATAAGTATCATTGGTAGCTTGAAAGTGTTCATTCTGGTTTGAAGCTCTATATTTTTATGGGGGGTCTATTGTCTGCGAGTAGACTCTGTAGGTTTAGAATTTTATAGTCTTTTGTTCTTCGTTGGACTTTGGATCTCTACAGCACGATACTTATTTCCATGGTGCTGGACCACGTGGTCCCTTAGTATTATAAGAGGGTTAAAATAGAAAATGAGTGTGAGAGAAAGCATAAAATTATTCAATAATATGAGATCATAAAATTATTTTTCCTACAACTCAAAAAAAAAAAGTATAATTCATAGCTCTTACAAATTTTATTCTATGTTCATTTGATATATTAATTTTTTTTTTCAAAAGTGAAAAAATGTTGTATCCACTTGAGTACAATAGTGGTACCAAAAATTTATCTGTGGATAAAAATTTTTGGCTCATTTTTTAATGCTGGATGGGACATATTACCGGTTTTGCCGCTACTAACTAACGGTATAATGGCTGATGTATTCCATTGACGTTTGTACACAAATTAAAGACACAGAAAAACGTCAAATAAAGGATGTAATGCAGTGTTGACGTAGTTTCAAAGGTATCTTAAAATAAACTATTTATTGTGCTTTTTCTTTTGATAGAAGAAATAAAGAACACAAGAATAATAAATGAAACGTAAGCATGAGGAAACCAAAATGCCAAAATAATCTTCGCAAAAAATAAAAACAAGGTAGAGAGAAGAAATATACTAATGGAATGGCCCACTGCTTTCTTTTTTTCCAATTTTTGTTCTTCTTTTTGGTGTATGAATGAAAAGTGAAAACCATTGTTGTTGACACCATATATAATGAAGTATAGTTATCAATCTCCAGAAATTAATAAAAGATCCAGCCAAAATAAGTAAGCAAGCAAGAGCTGGATCCCACTCCCACTCTTCTAATCCAGCTGTTAAAGTTAACATCAGTTTTTTAAAACAAATTTTTCAAGTATTGTTGTTCCTTTTTTCTTCTACATATTTTAACACTCTAGCGGATAAATTTTTAAGAAAACACTATTCTTTCTATTGTACCAAAGAAAGAGAAGAAATACCTCTGCTACTTGTTAGAATCATATTAACTTTAAATATCTAGATATTATCATAGATTTAATTATTTTGTTACTTGCATATATATATATATATATATATATATATATATATATATAGTTATCATTAAATAATCAACTGTTCTTAATTATATTATTTTATTAGCATAAATTTAATTTCAATCTAAAAATAATAAAAAAGTTATAAACATATGATATAAAAATTATATAAATATATCACCAAACACATAAATCAATTAAGGGTTATATTTCTCTTATATTGTATAAGAGAAATAAATTTCTTATATATAAAAAAAGAATGAATCTTATTTTTATTTTTTCTCTCACTTTTTATATGTAGGTCTTATTTATAATTTTATTTTTATTACATGAGATAACTCTTTTTTCATAACATAACAAAATTATTTCACTTTAATAAAAGAAAAAATCTTCCTCACAAATTAATGGATAGTATATATAAAAAAAAATATATACAAACTACAAAGTACAAACATAAGTTATATAAGTAACTAAAGGACACAGACAACATTATTTCAATGAACTTGACAGACATGTGCTGTCACATAAAATACTAAATTATCTCAAAAAAGAACAGACAAGGCACTCTGTGACAGACTTTCTCTCCTTCTCTCTCTGTAAATTATCACATAAAATACTAAATTATCTCAATCTCTTATATTTTGCATTTCCCACACCTATCCTTATACTCACTCTACCGCACAGTCATCAAAGTGTTACTGTTGACAAAAAAAAAAATTACTAGATTGATATATTAATAGTAAATTTTGTCAAAATACTACGTGGCATATTTCACTACATATGTGTACAAATAATTCGTTACACGGTGTAGCAAAATATGACACGTCAGAATACACAGAATCAAAAATGCCACATGTCAAACAAGGAGAATTTCATTATACTGTATAGCAAAATTCTCCATGTTTGACACGTGGCATATTTCGCTACACCGTGTAGCGAATTATTTGCACACATATTTCGCTACACAATTTCGCTACACTTTTTTTTTTTTTTTCCTAACAACGGCAAAATGATCACTTTCCCACTCTACGAGCTCACACACACTCGTCCTACCTTTGCTGCCATACCTCACCTCTCTCTCTCTCTCACTTTTTTTTTTTTTGCTTTCTTTATCAATCTGTTTCTATTTGTTTTGCTTCTATACATGTGTTTCTGACCATTAAGCTATGAAGCCATCACCGCCACCTCCATCACTTCTCATTCTTCTCTTCCTTTTGCCAACCATTACGATATCGGTTTCTCCACCTCTTCCTCCCACCCCTTCACCCACATCTTCACCAATATCTCCATCTTCTTCTTCACCTTCCACTCTTGACCCAAATCAGCTCAAAGCCCTACAGTCCCTCCACATCCCAACCACCAAGGACCCATGTTCCCACAATGCCACACTCTGTGACTCCTCAAAGCCCTTTCGCCACCTCATCTCTCTGACACTCTCCAACTGTTCAAGCTACGTTTCTCTCTCCTTCTCTGCCCTCAAATCTCTCTCCACCATCCATTCCCTGCAGCTTCTGAACTGCCCCATTGCTCCAATTCGCTTCCCTCATGAACTCACATCCTCTCTCCGCTCCTTCACTTGCATCAAAAGCTTCCGCAAGATCTCTGGACTCTGGCTCTCTCGCCTTGCAAACCTCACTGATCTCACTGTCTCTAATGTTCAAGTTAAAGCTTCTGGTCTCTATGTTGTGCTTGGTCACATGAGCAAGCTCAAAACTTTGACCATTTCACATGCCAACCTAACAGGTTCTCTTCCAAATCACATCCATTCCAACCTTACCCACATAGATTTTTCTGGTAACCAGCTCAAAGGAAGCATACCCCCTTCCATTACCATGCTTGATGGCCTTGAAATTTTGAATCTTTCTTCTAATGGACTCAAAGGTGAGATACCCTCTTCCATTGGGGACTTGATTTCCCTGAAAAATCTCTCCTTGGCTTCAAATTCGTTTTCGGGGTCTATTCCAGATTCGATATCTGCCATACCAGGTTTGGTTCACATGGATCTGAGTTCAAACCAGTTCAATGGGACCATTCCAAAGTTCATTTCAGAAATGAGGAACCTTAGGTACTTGAATCTGGCTAATAACAATCTTCGTGGGGTTGTGCCTTTCAACTTGACTTTTATCAAGAGATTTGCAATGTTGAAGGTGAGTGGGAACAGCAACTTGTGCTATAACCATTCGGTTCTGTCTTCAAAATTGAAGCTTGAGATTTCTCCTTGTGATAAATATGGAATGCCAATGTCTCCTCCGCCTGCAAAGGATTCTTCTGCAGATGATAGCAGTAATTCAGATTATAATGACAGTGGTGATGATGGTAGTAGCAGCCACAAGAAAGAGCATCATCATGGGCCAAATAAGGTGGTTCTAGGTGTGGCAATAGCTCTTTCTTCCATTGTCTTTCTCATTGTTTTCCTAATCCTATGCTCAAAGTGCTGTCGCTGAAGAAAATTTTGATTTCTGGTTTTTAGAATTTAGTTTAGGAAAATTAAGAATTTGAGTTGGTTGGTGCTTTGTTTAATTCATTTATTATATAATGGTTTCAGTGTAAGTGCAAGAAATGAGAGGTGATGGGCATAATTTTTTTTTTCCTTTTTTTGGGGGATAATACATGAATAGGAATGTATGATTATTAAATAGATGTTCAATTTTTTGTTTATTTTTCTGTTTTAATCAATTGCTTGTGCCTTGTGCACTGCAATGAGTTATGTATATATGGAATGCTATGCTTTGGCACTTTTTTTAGCTCATTGTTATGAGTAAAAGGTAGAGGTGGTGCATGTGGATGTGGTATCCAGAAAGATCTAATTAACTTGTGTTACAAGCTGTTTATTTTCTCGCACTTTTCATTGATTCCGCCGCTCTGTGGACCCAATGAGGCTTAATTAAATTTTATTTATTGCACCACATTGCTTTCAATCATTTCCTTTACTTTTATTTTTTTGAAAAAAAAAAATTCTTTGGAACTATTTTTTATTTTTATTTAAGGCAGCTCACTATACTATTCCACGGTAGTTAATTTCTTTCACCAACACTATTTTCAGTAAACTTGTGTCTAGTAATCACGAATGTGGCTTGATAATAATGTATGATGATGTCTGGCTCTATGCAATCATAAATTTATAATGTCAATGCTGATTTTATTTAGATGATTGGATATGAGCTGTCTATCCTACTTTGAATGAGTAGCAAAATATACAAATTAGGAATTAACGTATTTCATATCATTTTATCTTTTACACATACATAAAAATGTGTGAGATTTATTTTATCTTTTTCTTTTTTATCTTCACATGATCCCGTATGCATTTCATATACTTTTATGTGTATATAAGAGATAAAATCACATGATTTTATATGAGTTTTATATACTTTTATGTGTATATAAGAGATAAATTTATAACCTATCACGTAATAAACCTAATCCCACAAATTATATGCAGTTTCCATTTCCAAATTTGATTGAAATGCCCAAATTTCCCTGATCCCTCACATATTACATCTTTTCTGTCATTGTTTATAGTAGGACTCATTAAACCAAAAGGATAAGATGCCTTGATAAGCGAACCGTATTTTAGCAGGATCAAAATTCAAATTTTGGAAAAGATAATTGTTAGGACTATAGAGTTAATCAGGCAGAGACAAAAAGGTTTAAGTGTTAAATGGTTTATATTTTACCAGCTTGGCCCATTCTAGGGCAACCCGCGAACCTAAATATGTTGGCCCTGTTTTTTAATTTGCTCAAAATAATTACACATAATAAGTTTGTAACATTCACATCATACATATTAAAACTTTTAATTCTACAAAAGTCATAATAAATCCAAGCTTCTAATTTTAAAGTAAAGTTATAAAATAAAAAACATTCAAGCTTCCAAAGTAATATCATATTACTTTCCAAGCTTTTAAATTCTAAAGCAAAGTTAAATCCAAGTTTTCAAAAAAAAAAAAAAAAAACAGTATTTTAAAATTATTTTTAGAATTTTAGTAGTTTTGAAATTTTTTAGTATTTTTATTTATTTATTCTTTTAATTTTAACCATTGATACAATACTAATGGGGCACCATTGTTTAAAAAAATTAAATGGGCCAACTCGCAAGTTAAACAGGTGGCCAATTAACTAAATAAGTTGGGCTAAAAATATAAAAGGTTAATTAACTTGTTGGCTAAACGATTCAAACTAAAAATATAAAATATCTAATTCACGCACACACACACATCTAATTCACACACACAACACACACACACTGCGATCATATCTGGAATCGAACCAAGATCTTTTGAGTTGACGCAAATTTCATTATATTTGTTAAGTCAATTTTCTTAAGCTCTACTCGCATGTTATTAGTTATGCATAATATAATCTTAAATTAAAATAGACGTTTTTTTTTTTTTTGTGTAAATTATATTTGCATCACACGAAAAATGATCAATTATACTAGCAAGCATAGTACAGTGCTAGCAAGTGACTAGGTGGCCAAGTATCATCCTTTTGCAAGGAATATTAAAGGCTATACTGATAACAGGAAATCTACACAGCAGGATAATTCCCTGCCCTTTGTACTAGCAAAGCAAGAGACCACAGTTGATATGTAAATTGGTCCTTGCTGCCTCAGTTGATATGTAAGTTCTTAGTGACTACCTTAGTTCACGTTTCTGAATTTGTTGATGCAGCTTTCCTTAATTATGATTCACTGGCCATTGCATCTGCAAGGCTCATAAATGAAGGCAGTTTCCTATAACTTTCTGCACGAGACGTGCATTTCCCAGCAGCATACGAACTACTGCAAGGAAATTATTGCAGTGAAGCCTATATGGGAAATGTCTGCATAGTCCAAGAACGATGGAGGGAATTGTAATGATTATTAGGGAGGTAATTCGGATTAACACAACATGACATGACACAAATTTGACATAAATATACAAATATACTCAACATGAACACGGCACAAATTTAAAAACTGATAAAAACTATCGAAACAAACACGACTTGCTTATTTTATAGGTTAACACAACATAACACAAATAATTTGCTAACCTCAAAATGTGTTGCTTATTATACGGATTGATATGACACGATAAGACACGAATAATCAATATATTGAATAATGTCATGTTGACACGACCCTACACGATACGAATAACCTCTAAGAAGATTAACATATCAATTTCGTGTTTACGAATTAATATGCAACACGACAATAATTTTTTATGGCAATTTTTGCCAACTTAAACATGACACAATTTGGATTTGAGAATGGATCAAACCGAAAATTAATTTCTCATGTGGTATCAATGGATTGTGTTAAAAATTACCACCCTAGTAATTCTACACATGTGACTAACCTTTCTCCGTATACTTTGGCCTAGATCTTATATCCTAATCTATAATGCATCTTACATCAGTAAGAGAATTTCTGTGACTGGAAAATATTTAGTTACCAATTCTCATGAAGAGGAGGATAAATTGACATTGGAGAATTACTCCTCTACGAATTTTTCCAAAGATTTACCAGAAACCTCTACAAGAACATAAACCGTCCTTGAAATGGTGAAACCGGTTTAAATCTCTCAAGACAATTTCCACCCTGGTTGTCTTGGACATGAACTTCCCCATCTCATGACAGTCCCTACATACTCTTAGATTCTTGGTGACCCTAATAGTCCTCCCAGGTGGCAAATTTAATATACCAAAAGCCATGGCTAACTGCTCACTGTGCCCACACAGAAGCACTCCCTTCTCCATAACATCTGTATTAATCAACGCATACCTCATCTTAGTATTGTAACCTTCATTCATCATTTTCATTCTCAATCTTTTCAGCAACAAGTCTATCCTTTTGGCTTGAGGATGTGAAGTATCTCCTGCAACAAAGATATTAAATTTTCCTCGAACCTCTATCCAACTACAGCCTGGATTCTTTTTTAATCCCCGTTTACCTATCCTTCTTTGTAACTTTTTCACTTCTTCCCACTTTTCTGCCTCTGCATAGACATTCGCCAGAAGAACATAATACCATGTGTTCTCTGGCTCTAGCTCAAAAACATGCTCTGCCACTTTTTCTGCTAGCTCCACATTATGATGGATCCTGCATCCAGAAAGCAAGGTGCCCCAAATTGTAGCATCTGGTTTAATTGGCATAGTCTCAATGAACCTGTACGCCTTTGATAGATTTCCAGAGCGAGCAAGGAGATCCACCATGCAGGCATAGTGTTCTAACTTGGGCTCGATGCCGCATTCACTAGTCATGGAATTAAAGAATTTCCATCCCTCGTTCATTAATCCAGAGTGACTGCAAGCAGAAAGTATAGAAGTGAAGGAGGACTCGTCAGGCTCAATACCTGCAATCCTCATTTTGTTAAAAGTGGAAATTGCCTCATTGCCAAACCCATGCATACCATATCCGGCTATCATAACAGTCCATGAGATCCGATCCTTTTTAGGAATCATATCAAACAGTAGTTGTGCAAGAACTAGTAATCCACACTTCACATACATATCAACAAGTGCACAGGCTACATGCAAATATGAAAAGTGCCCATTTCTCAATATGTACCCATGCATCTCCCTGCCTTTGTCTAGAGCTGCTAAGCCTGCACAAGCTGGAAGGACACAAGCCATTGTAATGTCATCAGGCTTTAATTGTTTTTGCATGTCCAAAAAAAGTTCTAGAGCTTCATTGGGAAGTGAGTTTTTTGAATAACCTCTAATCATTGTATTCCATAAGATCCGATCCTTTCTAGGAATCATATCAAACAGTAGCTGTGCAAGAAATGCTAACCCACAATTCATATACATATCAACAAGTGCACAGGCTACAGGCAAATCTGAAAAGTACCCATTTCTCAATATGTAACCATGCATCTCTCTGCCTTTCTCTAGAGCTGCTAAGTCTGCACAAGCTGGAAGGATACAAACCATTGTAATGTCATCAGGCTTTTTTTGTTTTTGCATGTTCAAGAAAAGTTTTAGAGCTTCCTTGGGAAGTGCGTTTTTTGAATAGCCTCCAATCATTGTATTCCATGAGACAATGTCCTTTACTGGAATTTGAGAGAAAACTAAATGAGCTTCTTCCATGCTTCCACATTTTGCATACATATTCATGAGAGCATTAGAGACAGGCAAACTCAACCCCATGTTATTCTTTTTAATGTAATTGTGTACATCCCTTCCTTTATCCAAGGAGTTGCTACATGCGCAAGCATGAACAATGCTTGTGACAGTATAAATATCTGGGCTAACACCTTTGCATTGCATTTCATCGAATAATCTGACAGCATCATCATATAAACCTTCTCGTACATAAGCGGCTATGATTGAGGTCCAAGAAACAATAGTAGTTCCACCCATCTTCACAAAAACGTCAGTTGCACCGTTTAAATTACCACATTTTGAATACATGTCGAGTAAGGTATTGTTAAACATGACTTCCCCACTAAGACTAGCTTTCACTCCATAAGCATGAAGAGCACTACCCAATGAAAGGTTGCCAATATTTGTACAAGCCACAAGGACGTGAACCAAGGTAGCCAAATCCACATCAACACCCAAAGCCAGCATCTGAATGAAAAACTCAAGTCCAGTTCTGGAAAAACCATTCATAACATACCCATTTATCATAGAATTCCAGGAAACAACATCTCGATCACTCAATTCATCAAACAGATTATGTGCACTCTCAACTCCACCAAATTTAAAATAAGCCGCAATTAGAGAGTTAACAACAGTATTATAAGAACCAAAACCCAGTTTTAAAATATACCCATGAACCCTTTTACACTCCCTTACGTTGCCCAATGCAGCAAAACATTTCATGATACAAGTAAATGTATAAGAATCCCCAGTAATTCCCAACTTCTGCATTTTCTTAAAAAGACACACACTTTCCCCGTAATTACCAATCTTTGCATATTCAGACATCATAAGATTCCAGAGAAAAACCTTATCGTTGAGAATCTTATCAAATATTCGTCTCCCCTCAACCAAATCACCACAACTCACATACATGAAGACTAGCTTTGCCCCTAAAGCCCCGTGAATTACCATGCCACTGGAAGTGATAATGGAATGAACCCGTTTTCCATTTTCCAAAGATTTAAGCTCAGCACAGAGCTGCAAGACAGAACAGTAAGTATTCAACTCAAGCTCAGATCTTTGTGACCTTGTGAGAAATTCCATGGCATTTCTGAGATCACCCATTTCGCAGAACTGGCAAATTTTGGCATTTTCGTCCACGGTTACATTGTGAGTAGTCTCAGCCAAAGACGCAGAGGCACCGACACTGCCACGACAAGAAAGGTCCATATTCGAAGATAACAGACATGTTCTCGAAGTTTGTCTGAAGAAGATGAAACAATTCGGAGAATTGGAATAGTTTAGCTTGTTTCTGTGACAATGATAAGTTGGAGCAGTGCTCGCGTTTGCTATGCTTTTCAACATAGTTAGCATTTCCCTGTGTGTCTTATAACAAGATTGATGCCATGCCACTATATATATCTAGCGGCGTGGGAAGGCACAATCATTTTCTTATATGTATCTCAACAATATTTGGATCTTGATCTCATGCCAAAAAAAAATATGATATGATAAAGTCGCGTGATCATATAAAAATAGATCAATACTAACAAATGAAGAGAAAAAATATATTAAAATAGTTAATTATAAAATTATAATCATTGATTTATCTTTGTATGATAATAATATTTTCATATGATCGTGTCATTTTTTTTTTTTACATCCATTTCCACAATATTTAATGGAAAAATAATTTCTCTCTTTAGTGAAAACAAATATTTCTCTGCCACTAGGATGCCGCAGAAATCATTTCCCCATATTTAATTAGATACAATCATAATTTCTCTATGTAAGTTTAAACCAAAACCCACATTACTGAAAATTACAAGCTCTAAAATATAATTCAAACCTGTTTTAAAAAATAATAATAAATATCTTTTTCTTCGCTAGATTACAGTAGTAATGCATTTCCGAGACCTGGTTTTAATAATTAACAAGAATATTATAACTGCTATTAGAAGGAATACAATGCACAAACATAATCAGGAAGAATGAAATATATTAAAGTTGAGGTACATGTGTTACAATACAAGTGATGTTAATTCATTGGTTAATTGTCTGCATCAATGCCATCAGGTTCAAACACATAATTATGGAAGTATGCATTAGAAGTGTTTTATCATGCTTCTCATTGCCACAAATCTCGTTATCAGTTTAAGCCACCAGAAAGTATGTCTACAACTTATCCCCAATGAAAACTTTCCAATTCGATCAATTTAAACACAACCAGAAACACTCATCCTATTCCAGCAAATGAGATAGGTAACATGGGTGCACGGTGTGTCTTATACATCATACACTGATGTTCAATATGGTTTAAAATACAATTAACAGGGTAATGCTATATAATGAGCAACTTTCACACGATGTCAAGCAACACAAGATTGCAAATTGAAGTGCTTTAATGTTGATTATGCCGATATATACGAGAGAGAGAGAGAGAGATCACTTCACGGTGCTTTTAACAATTTGTTTCACTTCAATGTTTTACAAAAAGTAAATTGATTTGAATGTGAGAGGAAAAGTAAAAAAGAAATGAAAATGGTAACATTTAGCTAATTGTTCTCACTTGAACAATCATTTGGCTTAGTGGGCACATTAAATATGAGTTGGAATGCATAAGGCAAAGTTACAACCAGATTTTCTCTCTCTGAAAACACTTATTTCTTTCTCTCTCAGAAACTGGAAAAAAATAAAAAATAAAAATAAGAGTTTGAAAAATGGTGGTGAAAAATTGGAGCGTGACGCCATTTATGTGGTTTTGAGAGCCCAGAAAATTAGAGGAATGGAATGAGGCAGAATTGGACTAGATATGTGCTATGTAGCACCGATACCGACACAGGACACGTGACACGATACGACACGACACTCCGACACGTTAATTCTAAAAAATGTTATATTTCGACACGTTAGGACACGTTTTAATATTAAATAATATTTTTAATTTATGTAGTGTATATTATATTTAATATTTTATAATTTAACAAAAAAATGAATCTAAACTTATAATATTCACAAATTTTGCAAAGAAACATAAGATATCCCAAATATTTATATTAAACTCAATAAAATAGTAATCGTAATCCAACGAATCCAATAGTTGGAACTAAAAGCTCAACGCAACGCAACCTTTGAATCTTTTTTTGAATTTCTATAACGCGTGTTGAAGTGTCGGGGAGTGTCGGAGTGTCCGAGAGTGTCGGAAAGTGTCGGACACGATACGTCAGGATTTTTGAAGTATCGGTGCTTTATAGGATATGTGAGAAAGGCATTACTCCAGCGTGAAGAGTGATTAAATAAAGGAGGTAAAAGCACCGAAACACTCTGGCTGGAGAATTACTCTTGTATAGTATATATATACATTCAACCATTTGATGCTAGCATTGACTATATGTCTTGGAGTGTAACTTAATTGACTGCAGTGTTTCTTTAATGATCAAGATTGCAGTATAATTTATCCTGATGTCAAATTCAACTTGTAGTACGTACCACACTCAGTTATCGAAATTCTGGTTTATAACCGCAATTTCTTATGACCCAATTCAATACAAAGAGGATGTATAACTTTTCAAACATGAAAACTACACATAATGCTGAGAAAACATTATAAGCTCAACTTGTGTTTCAATGTTGAGAAAACAAACTACAGCTTTATCTCTTTTGTGCTTTCCTCCTTCTAGACTGCGCCTTTTGCCACTTCTTCCTGGGAACCAGTTTACTCTTTGGTTTCAGTTTTAACTCAGGTGAAAATTTGTAATTTGGATCTCTCATACGTGCTTGTATGTCCTTGAAAAACTGAATATTTAGTTTTTTAGGACCTCCTTGTCTAAGTTCTGCATACTCTGGTCCTGAAACAACATTTTCAAATGCTCCAATAAGAATATCTAAATCACTCATAACCTCCCATGTATTGGTATACCTCCCATCAGGACCTTTCTTCAATTTCTTCAAAGCATTCTCAACAGCAATCTTCCTAGCTTGCTTTCCCGGTGACAACTCCTCAGGTTCTTGTTCAGCTTTCAACAGCTCAGAGATAGTTCTGTATTTAGGCATTTCATCAAACTCAAACAATTTATCTAGGTACTTATCACTACTTTCATTTGGGTAAGCTTCCGTCGGAATATCATCATCACTATCCATTTCATCACCAGTCCACAGTGTCTTCTCCTCATCACTGCCAGACCAAACACTTCTTAACTCATCACTATCATCGGCATCAATCAGGTCTGAATGTTCTTTAGCTTGCCGTCTTGCTTTCCTAATCTCTTTATCAAGATGACTCTTTGAACCCTTTTCTTCATCACTTTCATCCTCACTTCCTGTCCATAGAGTGTTATCTTCATTCATCTCCTTTGCCCAGGTTTTCTTGAACTCTTCATCCCCTGGTCTTCCACTGCCAAAGAGATCATAGACTTTGCGTCCACCACGAGCATATGATCTCAACGCTGCAAATCCAATTCATTAGCTTAAAGGAACTGACACTAGATAACCCATATTAATTGTAAGTAACAAGACTACAAATAAAATCCTGTTGCCTTAAAATTAATTTTTTGTCTTAATAACATCAGTAGCCATAAGCTGAAAGCTTTAAAAAGAAAAAGGATCTTGAAGTCGGTCAAAAAATTACATCATTGGGTAGAGCAATGAAAATGAACGCCCCTTTCTTTTTATTTGCTATTTATACAAAAGACGTGAATTTGGCTCATGATTTTCTATAAAAACCTCGCCAATGAAAAAGTGTTAAATGACAATGCAGGCCAAATTTTACATGGAAACCAATAAGGAGATACGTTCCTAAGTCCTCCTAAGCTAGAGGAAATATACGAATGCATTTGAGTTAGTACATAAAAATCATTAAATGGGTTCTATTATTATGTTAAACCAGTAATTTTGTCTTCTCTCGGAAATTCAGTAGTGAATATAACAAATGGGTTCTTCAAATAATTACACTACTTCAATTCAATAGGAGTTAAAAAAAACTCTAAATAAAAGGTAACCTTGAGAATTCAGCAGGGAGCCATTATTACAACAACTTCGTAGTACACTTGGACCTGAATCATAAAATACTTTTGACCTGAAAGAGCAACAAAGATCAGACGTTTCAGCTATTGTCATGAAAAATTAACTAAAAGCAGTATTTAAACAAAATAAATATCTTCAAACAAGTATCCATGACAGAAACGAGAATAATCCTTACTTTTGAGAGAGGGGTAGCCAATGCGACTTTGCAACCCTTAGAAAAGATGAAGAGAGGATATTGAAAGAGAATGACCTCCATCCCATTGTAAAGAACTAGTTGATCTGTCATTAACTTCTTCCTCTTAGGCCTCAATCTTATGCTACCCCTGAAAAGTAACCAACAAGAAGAAATTTTAAAAAATAAAATAAAATAAAATAAAATCCTAGCAATCCATGCTAAAATGTTTTTTTATCAGATTAAAATCGGTGGTGCCACCTTTCAAGGTATGTATGGATCAATGTATTTCGACGGGAAGGGAGGGATGAGATGGGTAAATTTTTTATTTTATGTTAACATTCTCTTTCCTTTGTTTAAATATAAAAATGAAAAAATCAATCCTCTCCTCTAAACTTCTCGGTCCAAACACACCCTAAGGTAATTGTGAAGCATTACAGAGGAAAATTCATGAACACAACCCATGGTTATTTTTGCAGGATGGACCTGACATTTTATCAAACAGTTCGGGGGCACATTAATATAACCCCTAAATCCCATATTAACAATGGCACAATATAAACAGAGCCTGCTTATTTCTTACCATTCGTCTTCTGAGAGAACAAGAAAAACATCTAAGAATAGCAAAACATGGAGATCAAAGGATCAAATGAAAGACAAAACTAACAACAGCAAGCACCTAACATCTAAACTGCATGCTCTGATTCATGTCAAGCACGTGCTCCATATCAAAGGAGGACAGAGTGGAGCTTCCTAGGTTGACGTTAATCAACAACGATTGCTTGCCTCGTTAGGACTAAAAACGATCACCGACTGAGACACCGCTCAATATAAATAAACTATAGGGCTTTAATGTGTGGGGTATTAAGTTTAAGAAGAATTATTTTTTATTTTTTATTTTTTTGAAAAATTAAGAAGAATTATTTTGAATACGAGCAATTCATTTTTGTGTATTTAACGGTTTCAGTTTATTTAAAATTAATAATTAATTAATAAATATAATTTAATAAACTATACTCTTTGAATAAACGGAAATTAACAGTTGAAACGATGAATAAGTCTTCCTAAGTCCCTCCTCAATATAATATTTTGAATTAGGATCATTTTACGTTATAAGTTATATTCTAAATCTTGGTTATTATTGATCAAAATTGAATATAATTTTTTTTATTTTTACACTAATATAAAAATAATCCGCCCCTAATATTGTCATTCACTATTTATTTCTCTAGCTTCTTGAGAAGGAAAACTACTAATTAGATTTCTATAATCAACCTCACTTAACATTTGTTTTTTAATCGATAATATAACTAATCTATTTAATTTTTTCTCAAGACATTATTAACCTTAAATAAGATAGATTTATCAAGAACGCCTTCTTGAGATTATATTACCGTTTTAATTCTTCTCTCTCTTTTTTTCAAGTTTTAATTAACCAGATTCATATTTTCTAATTGTCATATTAACATTGTAATGAATAACAAAAAAATAAAATTCATAATGATCATATATATTGCTGAAAATGATCATAAGTGCTTCATTTTTTTTTCCAGCAAAGAGGCTGACACAATTGCTGAAAAATTCCGTTGCCAGGAGTTGAAATCCTGATCCCTCGGGTGAGAGACGACTACACTTAACAAATAGACTATAACCGCTGTACGTATACATTTTAATCTTAAAGATCTTTCAACCCACTTAGAAATTCTTAAGTTATTATTTAAGGACTTGCACAAAATTTTTTAAAAGATTTACTTATACAAATATCACCGCCCACACATACACACACCCCATTTAATTATAGGGCTTGCAATTTCTCATGTTACATAAGAAATTCAAATTTTCCTACAGAGAGAGAAAGGAGTGGGATCTACCTTAAAGAAAAAAATAAAAAAACGATTGGCACGGACATCGAAGTGAGAGTAGTAGGAAAGGAGATTTCTCATGTGTTGAGAAGTCTTTTTCCCTTAATTATAGTAGGTTTAAGAGTTATTTTGTTCCAATTCACGCGAATTATAAGCAACATTGATGACATCACATGAGATGGGAATGATTCTCTTTGAACTTTAGTAGACAAGACAACAAAAAAATATATATAAAAAAAAAAAGAGTGAAAAAAAATGAAAAAGAGGAAAGGAACAACGAGGAGAGGCTCTTTCTGTTTGCTTGCATGTTGAACAGCGAATTGTGTACTGTTTCTAACATATAACAACTATGCCACAAGTTACATATATCTTCTTTTCTTTTCTCACTTAACAAAAAGAAAAAAGTAATCCCTCTGTGTCAATAAATATCTCAAAACACCGCACCAACTCCAATCCAAAGAATGGAATAAGGAAACAATGTGGCCATAACTTGCCAAGCTGGTAACTATCTTATAATGAAACTTCCAGGCTTCAGGGTACTTGGTTACATACCCTGAGAAATGTGAATTTGGACATGGTTAAGCATTACCACCCCTTCAGAGAATGTATGTGCCAGGAACCAATATTGCACTCATCATATAGACAGGGACGAAGATTTGAAGGGAAGATTAGTGTTAGCTCCTCCACTAGAACATATTTATACGAAAGAACCATGGCAGAACAAAAGCTATTACCAGGCACGCCATCAAGAAGTTACAAAATGGCTGTCCACGCCAGCACCCACCAAACCCGCCAGATGAGGTAACATCACTTTCCATGAATCTACTTTCATTCCACTCTTCCATAAATTCATTACCAGTAACATCCGAAACATTTTTCGCAGTCTCACCACATATTTCACACAACCTGTCATTATGAAAGGTAAATAAAGGTATTAACAGAACTAGCACAGAACAAAGGAGCCTCATGATTATTCAACCAACATATTAACAAGAATTATGATTGACCATGATTGATCAGTCAAATATTCTTACAACTATCTAATTATTGTTTGCAAAAAACACATTATATTGCACAAGTAAATTCCTCCACTCCTCACTCTCAACTCAATAAACAAGAAACTATTTTCAAATTACAACGAGGATTAAGATATGAACAGCATCTACATACATGAGAGTAATTTCAAACAAGAATCAAAATTAAAATTGCAAAAAAAAAAAGAAAGAAAAAGGAAGTAATTTCAGACAGTCCTTCACCAGGCAAACCAAAATTTAAATTTTATGCCCTTGGATACATAAAAAGGCATAGATTACAGGTTAATGTTGGAAATAACTAAAAGCAGAGTTAAAGAGATTACAACTTTAAAAGGGAAGGGCTAATAGGGGAATGGTAAGTTGATTAGTCTATAGTGACATTTCAGAGTTTACACAAGTGGAAGTTACGTTAGTACCATACCTCTGGAGTTTATTCACTAACAACATCACCACCTTTTTCCCAAAACTAATTGGAATTGGCTGTTGATGAACCCAAATAAAAAGCAAGAAAAAATTAAGAGAAAAAATAAACAATTAAATATAAAATAAATATAGGGAATATAAATAAAATTTTAAAAGTGAATATGCCTATATTAAGAATTATCTTTGAAATTATAGCAGTTGGAAAGACAATCTTGCTGACAGCCATTCTTCAATGTATCAAATTTTTGTTTTCTTTCTTTCGGGAAGGAGTGTAGAGGAAAAGGGACAGGAGTAAGAGATATATTGTTATATATTATTATTCTTTCAGGGTTGATGAAAGTATAAACTTATTTTTCCTTCTTCATTCCCCATATATCAGATGAACAGAGAAACAGAAGATTCAAAGAAACTTCATGAAGACTACAAGAGCACTTTTTCACCAAACATGGACAAAGAACATCAATATGAAAAATATAAGCAATCATTTGTTAGATACCAAACTAAGACTTGATGCCATCATTTTGATTTCAATTAAACTCAGCTCACAAACACCACAAGCCAAGCCTTTTGGTAATCATGTTTGTATTTAATCCAAACTCCCCCATCTCAGAAGGAAAACCCTCTGGGTGTCTGGATGCATTGCCCAACTCATCCATTACCAATTGAAACTCCATGTGGGTGCAGTAATGATGATAGTGGTTCTCCAACTAGAAATGTACCAGTGAAAAGCAAAACAGCTATGAGCTACATACATTAACCAACTAATAAATGGCAAGCAAGAAAGTCAATTCCAAAAGTTCAAACTCAAATTTAAGGGTCTTTTGGAGGTCAAGTTCAATAATAATAATAATCGGAATTATAGTGATAAATTAACAACAACAATAAAATAATAGAATTGCAATTTAGAAATTCCTACTGCTTAAAGCCATTTCTCATCTACTGCTACATTTATAACTTATAAGGATGCTGCAGAATATCAAAGATTTCACAGGACAAGTCATGGAAAGATGAAAAGATTAAATCTACCGTGTATTATTATGGAAGAAATAAATATTTCAAAGTATTAAAATAGTGCACATCCAAAGAGGATATCTTTATAGAAATTGTTCCAAACTGATATATTCAGTAATGAGAAGTTAGGAATCCTTATGAATCCCTATGGCACTGTGAATTCAAAATAAGTAGACAACTTCACAAATATGGTCAATGTTACAAAATTTAACGCAAAACGTCAAAAGAAAAAAAAAATTGTTGATAAACATATGTTAACAAAAACAGTTACCTGTTTCCTTTAATCTTGAACCATGCCTCAGCACAATGACTGTGCGCAATGCCTAGCTCATCTTTACATGCACAACCAAGCTGAATCAAATCTGTACTAGTATTAACCCTATTTGCAGTGCCAACAGCTGTTGCTTCTAATGGTTGCCCAGAGGACAGATGGCAAATCCTACAAATCATTTCACCTTCCAAGCTCTCACTAAACCCTTTGCAGCCACCGCAGTTTACATCAATCACACATGAATTTTTATCTGTCTCGGACACTCCTTTCTGTGGTGCTTTCATGGATACCTTGCTCAACCTTAATTCATTATCTTTTGCTTCCGATTTCATATTATCTGCATTGGCATTCTCAATCTGAGAAGAAGAATCTATTACAACACAGGTCTCAAGTACTTCCCTAGTAACTGAATTTCTAGAATTATAGCTAGTTCCTTGATCAACCCCTTGCAATGTATCATTGATTTTTTGTGGGTCACCCATGTCCTGACCTTTAACTTCTTGAGATCCCTCCTTCAGCTCCTTATTCAATCCGAGATCATTGCACATAACTTCTGAAGTCCTATCTTCCCCATTTATACTAACTCTGTAGCCCAAGCTATGGCCAGCTCCTGCATCAATTGCAACTCCTTCAACCAAATGGCCCAAATTCTCATCCACCCCTTCATCAACATGATCCAATACCTCACCACTGCCTTTGCTTCTTGTCTGGTCCATCAAATTAACATCAATTCCCTCCACTCAATATTTCCACACCTGAAAATAAACTCCTAACAACACATGCATCCCACAGTGATAAACCCAACAAAAAAGAAAAACTTTTTTTTTATATTATTTAAAGAGGATGAACAATGTGATCAAATGAAAGGTGGCAAATCCATATCTCTCAACGACCCATTTCATGGTTTGAGACATAATATTCAGATGTTACAAAAACAAAAAAATAAAAAAATAAATAGGAAGCATGGGTGACCCCCAATAGGATGTATCACTCCAATCAGCCACAAAGAGAAGAGTGTACCTCAAATATTAAATCCTAGACAGAAATTTCAATTTGGCTGTGTTTGAGTCCAACCACACCGCGTTAAAGCTCTGTGCTTTGCCTCTGGTTCTGGGGTGTTGTTGAAACTTGATAAAATGCACATTTATATGAAAAAGAATGGCAGGGTTAGGTAAGGAAAGTTACTGGGGAAAATGGTAAGAGGGATTGAGTGCATTTGAATCATTTGATGGAATGGATTAGTGTACAAAGCAAAGGACAAGAAATTGAGGGTTTGTCTTTATTCCATGCTTTTACACAAAACCCTTTTACTTTTACGTTATGAATATTAGCATAGAGATTCATAAACTCACCCAAAAAAAGAAAAGAAAAAAAAAAAAAAAAAACCGGATAATTTCTGCAAAATACAAAAAGTTTTTTTTTTATTTTGGTAAGCAAATACAAAAAGTTAACAATTAATAACTTTTGACTCTAATTTTAATTTAACGCCAATTTAGAATGAAGTAATATAAGTTTCATCGGAAGAAGTGAGAAGAATATCATATGTTAAGTGTAATTAAAAAATTCTCATTAAATAATTATACGTTATTAGTTGTCAAATTCTATTAATAATGTGATAATATATAGTAAAATTATAATATAAAACATTTACAATTAATTAATCATATGAGTAATTTATTTGCTGAAATTTCAAAGTTTTTCCCATTAAAGATTGTTGAATCATTATCGTATATCGTTTCGCCAATTTTTTTTATCGAATCGTAAGGTAAAGAAATATAATATAAAATAATACGAAAATATATAATAAAATTAATATTATATAAATCCAAATTCCAAAAAGGATCCAATAAATAAAAGGGTTTGATTTTCTCTTGTTGCATGAGAATTGAATTCTTATGTTGCGACTCAACCTAGTAGTGGGCCCCATATTTATTAAAAAGAGAAAAAAGAAAAGAAAAGTTTTGCACTCAAAACAAAAAGTCACAATATGAGAATTAATTGAATTCTCATGCAACATAAGAAAATATTTTTTCATAAAAAAATGGAAATGGATCCTCTCATGTGTAATTCAACATGATCATGTCATGTGTAAAGATCTTAACCATTAATTAAATCAACGGTGATGATTGTGTACTTCATATCCTTATATTTTTTCTCGGTTCTCCCTTATCACCATTAACTCACTCATATATAATTATAATTGTCCCACATAACATAATCATATTAATTAACACATGAGAAGATCCACTCTTATTTCAATTATGCCAATCTACTAATAAACTGGAGGAAAATAGTAGTCTCATGTGGTAGGAGACTACTATCTTATGTCATAGACACTTCGATAAGTGTGCTGTTACTTTCTTTTCTTTTCTTTTCTTTTTTCTTTTTTAGTGGTGGATCCTATCATCTTGTGTCTTAGCATAAGATATGATATCTTCTACAACATAGAGTAAACAAACCCTAAACTGGATATGTACAGCTGCAACTATATCGTCGTAAACATGGCACTTCACGTAACCTTCTTTATTAGGAAAATAGCTATATCTGGATATTTAAAATGTAGATTTTTTTAGTAAGAAAATCAAAATTGATATCAATTCATTTACAATTTCTTAACAGTGAGCACTTACGAAAAAAAAAACGTAAAACCTGAATCAAATATTAACGGTGAATATTTTTATTCTGGCTAACAGATCATTGATCCTGTACTCACCAGACCCAAATAAGTAACAGCCTGAATCAAATATTATTTCTTTTTCTCCTGTCAAAAAATACCATTTTTTTGGGTTCATGATACTCATTCCTTCACTAACTAGGAGTATACACCCTTGACTTTGGGTCACCCATAAAACTCACAATCACATTTATTCACTATCTTACTATACATCATACAATTTATATGATATAATATGATTCACCACAAGACCAACGATACGTATCGCGAGATATATCAGAAGAAATTTGTATTGAACGATATGATATTGTATCGTAATACGTGTATCATACGATACGAAAATCAAATCAAATCAAAATATGTAATTTTTGATATAAAAAGATAAATAAAGATTTAAAATAAAAAAAAATCTAAAAGGATCCTTTTTGGAAGAGGATGGTGGATTAGCTATGTCACGGTCACTCTGATAGATGCTAATAGTAATAATAGTAATAATATTAGTCTTAAAGATTGATAAGTAGGAGAATGATTGATTTGCACTTTAATTACTTATGCATTTTTTAGAAAGTGGATCTTCTCATGTGTTAATTAACATGATTATGTTATGTGGGACAATCATAACCATATATGGGTGAGTTAATGGTGATAAGGGAGGAGAAGAAAAAAAATGTAAAGATAAGAAGTTACACAATCATCATTTTAAAAAATAGATTTTAAATTCAAATAAATTAAGTTTATTTTACTGGTAGAAATATAAGTTGGACGCAGAACAATGGCTTGTTTGTTAGGAAAAAAAGAGAGAAAACAATCATTAATATTATTTGTTCAATTTTTCTATATCTTCGCATGAGTCTAATATTTGGGTATTAACTTTTTTTTATTTATACGTTTTTTTTTTTTTTTTTTGTAACATCAAATTTTTTAACCTCGCAAAAAATCTGTAACCGTCCAGTTCAAAATTTATTAGTTGAATCACCGTTCCGAGTAAAAAAATAAAAGAAAATGATCATTGATTTACGTTTTTATAGATCAATTATTTGTAAGTGCTGCTGAACACAATATGTTAGGCGAATTACCCTTTTTTAGGCAGAACAAAAAAAGAAAAAAGAAAATCAGCTTTTTTGTCTTTACTGGTTAGGCGAATTATAAATTGACCAGATATCGATTTCAATATTATGCATTAAAGATATCCTGTAAAATTAGAAATTTAATTATTTTAAGATTTCCCAGTATAGCTATTTTCCTTGTACCTAAAATCACATGAATTATAAAGTGGAACGCCAATATGACAAAATAACTGTAGTTATGGTTGTTCACTTTGTCTGTAGCTTGTCTTGTCATAATCCAATATTAAAAAAAGTGATTTTTTTTTTGTATCCTATTAAAAAAATGATTTAAGTTATACTTAGTAGTTAGTATGCGTTTATTTTATGTATTTTACCTACTTCACAAATTATTTTAACGATGATGTATTTCGTCAATATTAAATAGTTTAATTATGATTAATTGATTATCTAAAATAGGAATTAATAAAATTATTTAAAAAATGTGTTATTAATATTTATAGATGATAATGATGACTAATTCATTTGATCTTTGACTGGGATATTTTCATGTGGCAGGATATTCTTATACCGGTGTAAGAGTTAGAAGTCTTACACTCAATCTTGATCATTGATCCACTTGTATTCAATGGCTCACATTACTAAAAAAATTTAGCCGTCAGATATAAATAGAATCAACGGATAAGATTGAGAGTGTAACTTACACTAATATAAAATGATCCTGAACCTATTTTCATAAGTTTGAAATCCTTCGTCATCAAAAACAAAATAATAGTGGAACGCGCCAATTTATTGGTCCAGTTATACATTAACTAGATAAGAACAAGATATCCCTGAGAAAGTCTACCAAGACGACAAAATAAAATTCCAAGAAGAGCTACAGTAGCAAGTCTACGAAATTCATTTGCTCAATCTTCAAGAATATTTATCATTTTTGCTGTAACGATCAAAAGATAAGCTATTGGCTATGCTTTGTATTAACAAACAGGAAGTGTGCTTTGTATTAAATAAAAAAAATAAAAAAATCTAGAGCTACCACCACAAACCATGTGACACCTGACAATGTCATTAGTCAATTAATAAACAACTAGAAAAAAATAATTAAAGTCCAGTTTATAGTACACTTTATTTGATATTGAAATATTTCTTTTTTAAAAGAAGGAACTCTTGCAATTGCAACCTTTGACTTTCTCCTATCACGTACAAAAGTGGCAGTAGTGATTAACTATGATTTGAGTGCTAATAAAGAACACAAACCATGGGTTAAGAGTGGGAAATAAACAAGAACATATTCCACTTCAGCTTGATATTTCTTGCTCGTATGGTTTTTGTAAACAGATATTTGCATTAACAAATAGATGTTAGTAGAAGTTAAGAATCAAATCTAAGTGTCGAAAAATCCATCCCTGAGCAAACGGACAAAATTAAGTATCTTTATTTCAACAAAAATATCTTACCAACTTGCCGAAATTGAGAATCTTGAACAGAAGTTTGGCAGTATTTTACATGAGGTACATAAGAGGGATCTACTTCTACTTGCACATCATTGAATACTTCTTTTTTCCATGCACATTATCAAATACTGAAACATTTGTTTTGGTGGTTCAAAGCAATTAAAATGTTTAGAATGTATATTATTTTAATAGTTTCACATTATATAAATAGGGCCGAAATTGATGCATTTTATTATTATAAATATAAATAAGGTGTGATTAGATTAGGCACATAATTCATCAACTTTAAGTTGGTATCAAAACTTTTCATCATGGGAAATCCTACTTTCGCAAAATTATAATTTTGTTGTGCCCATTGTGCAATAATGTTATGACGCTTGTCGTGTCTCATACTCTTGATGCTCAGAGAATTCATGAATTGCTACTGTTTTTTGATAAAAAGAATTGTTACAAGTGTACTGATACAATTCACGTTCTTTTGTATATATACACAACTATTAAAGAATAGCTAATAAGAATAACTACCAAAAATGAATAACTAATTCAGTTATCAACAGAAACTATTCTAACAGCTTTCATTCATTCTGTTGTGGTTAGTTGGCTATATACAACTACCATCTGGCATGAAGTTAGCTACTGCATTTGAGTTGTGTGAAGCTTG